ACCAATTCTTCCCCTAACCCCAGTCAATGTTAAAAGTGAGCTCTTACGTTACTTCAAGAAAGGAAGACCGTGGGAGGGAGTAATGGCAAGGGGGCCTTTCACCTCAGAAAGAATCCTATGTAGCTTGACTCACCAGACCCCTTTTAAGTAATACATTAATCCTTCACTCCTGTGAAGCTTAAAACCAAAAATTTTAGGCATCCAATGCTTTTAACCCAGAGCCACTTACGTCACTACGCTTCAGTAGGTACCATTGTCCTTCTCATTAGCTTATTTTATTTTAGGAACACAATGGCACTCTCCCAGTCTCCCAGTTGTAAAATTAAATGTGCTGAACCCTCCCACCAGCAGAGCCGTGCAGCAGGAGTCATGACTTCAGGCAGGTCACCATGAATGCACAGAATTTTAATGAGCCTGAGCCTCCCATAATGCCCTGTACCACGGATCTCTGGAATGATGTTTTTCATGGTGGCTTTATGAAGAACGAAGAGATTGAACCTATTCTGGTTACAGAACTCCAGTATGAAATCAACCTAGTGGTTTTGGGACCTGCATGGGGACCTGAACCCGGGCATTCCAAACACACCAAACCACCCGACAAGCATGTATGTATGGAACATGTGCAGTAGTCATTGCAGCTTAACTCTTCTTCTCCCTTGTTTCCTCGTTATCTGAAATCATTACATGCAAAAAAAAAAACAGTAACTCCACAGAAAATAGAGACATTTCCCTCACAGGAACCATCCCCTAGACTTTTATAATCCGCAAAGCATCAGAAAACTCTGAGAGAAAGTGAGTTGAAATGAATTGTAAATGTTAGTGTTTTATTGTAACAATGTACCAGTGCATGGGGATCATACCTAGCCTGTAAAGGATTTAATTTTAATGTAAAAATCTATTCTCATCATTGTAACATCTGAAAGATCCAGCATGGGGAGACCAAAGAGATTTCAGAATATTGAGCCGGATCTGGTGCTTGCCCAATCTTTACTTCTTACTAATGCTTGGTACATAAACTGCACATTCTCCGATTATTACGGATTTATGCTCTTGAACCTTATTCTTGGTTTTAAAAACATTGTTGAGATCATGCTCATTTTGATTTCTTTGTAGCTTCTTAAAATGTAGTGATTGTGCTTTAAAAGCCAATGTGCCACAAAGGTTAGGAAAGCAGTATTTAAATTGAGGGACGTCATACAAGAACTCACACAGAAGATTATCAGGATATCAGAAGCTATCACATTTGGTTACTATAGTACAAGAAAATGTTTCTGCTATAGAAGCAGTATGAAGGAGAGTAACTGGACTTACTGTATTTCTGGCCTGAATGGACTGCCATACTCAGACAGGCTAGGGGAACAGTTTTTCTTAACTTAGAGAAGGTTGGGAGCTAGAGTGAATTATTAAAAATCCTGAAACCAGTGACCAAGGACCAAGGGACAGAATTAGAATTTATTTTCTGGGCCATTTAAGGCAGAAAACAGAAGACCCACATTTTCATATAGGACACCTCAAATTCAATAAGTTAATACCAAACAAGTGAGCAAGGTGGGGCAAATGTTTCATTTGTGACTTTATATGCTAATTACTATATGGAGTGATTTCACATGATGTAAAGTACACTATGAACAGGCACTATAAAAATGGACTGACTGATCGATTTGGTTGATAAAACATTTTTAAGAAATGGGAGTCACAGTAATCAAAAAAACCAATTTCCTCCCACAATCCAGCCAAGGAATAATTTCTTACAACATATATTTTTCCACCAGGATTCTAACACGCAAAACTAGAAACACCTACTGCACGTTCAGATCCATCTCTGTCTTCAGCTGCTGCAACCTCTCCATCACTTTCACTGCTGACTTGGCCAGCACAAAGAATAGAGTCTCGACTGGAATATATGTGTGGACAGAGACATCAGCCATGTCGAACGAGCAGATTGCACAATAGCTGAACACAGATCTGAAAAGACAGTACAGGAGTTTCTTCCAGCAAAGCCCCAGTTGGTATAAACAGGGACAATCAGTATTTCAATTAGTAAATGTTTTAATGTTTTCCTGAGCTCATTAAGTGCTGCAGCAGAGTAGCGCCAAGACTGGGGATGCAGCCTTGTTTTTTGGGGTTAAACTTTGGAATGTCATTTGTAAGAGGGAAACGCCTGTTAATTAAAAATCAAGAAACTGATGTACTTTCTGCAACAAGTCAGAACTCACATTACAAAACTTTATTGCAGTACAATTCTTGAAACAATATGCAAAGAAGAACGTATTAAAATAAAACTCAACAAAATCATAACATCCATACATAAACCACATAGAAAACCTTTCTAACCTGAAATCCCATTCAATCATGTTTAAGTAGAGAGCAGCATTCCATACTTCTGTCTGGCAGAAGATGAATTTTCACAAGTTTTGTTTTCAGAAGGGATTAAACACTGAAAGCAAACAATAGGACTTAAAGCATGTTCTTTCATCCAAGGCCTTTGAATTGCACAGAAGGTTGTTATTTTTAATTTTATCGTTTTACAGTGAGTTTAGGCTTTCAGTCCTACATTATCTGCTGAAGAAGTTGGCAGACTCCAAAAACAGATGTAATTGCTCTCTTAAAAAACAAAAGCACGTTCCATTAAACTCCAGCTCTTTCAGAATCTAGATTTCCAATAGAGACGTTCTTGTTACAGGGGCAAAACAATCTGTCATCCCAGGAAAGAGATTATAATTAGGAGAGACAAAATATAAATAATCCCACAAAAGGCTTTATGTTCCAGAGAGATAAACCGCACAATAGTCTTTGACTAAGCCACAATGTGTGACAATGTGTGTCAGTGCTTGTAGATAAGGGACAATTAGTCAAAAGCTCTTTTTTAAAAAAAAAAAGCTGTGTGTGTGGCTGGAAATCAGATATTTCTGAATCAATGCTTTGTTTCACGTTTAAAAAAAAAGAGTAGAAAAATTACACAAGTCCCCTTGTTTACAAAGAGGCATCTATGATGGCAAATGCTAAACATGAACAGAACACACCTACCAGTAACAATACCATGAGTAATACCATACTGAAAATGACCTCAAAGGTCACAGGAAGTTCATCACATGCTATTCAAATTCAATCATAAACTACATAGCATTCAAATGTTTACATAGAATGGTTTAAAGAAGAAAAGGAAAGAAAATGAAAAAAAATAGAATACAAAGTGGGACACTATACTGTATATTGTGGATTCATTGCTGAGTATTCTTATATAATAATAAAGGTTAATGGAGAAGACAAAAGGTGTATCTGGTTATTTGGAAATGTTAGTTCAGCACTGTTCTGTCCAAACCTGGTACAGCATATTGTAAAATCCACCAAACCCTTACGCAGCTCCGCACACTCTAAGAAAATTGTGCACATATGTAGATTTTATTTGGATTCAAATAAATGTCAGTGACAACTCATGAATAAAGTTTCCAATACACAAACACCTTAGCATGTTTATAATCAAGAAAACTACAGTGCGTAGCTGACTACATTGGAAAAGAACCAACCATTATCTGCAAATGCTTTGTAAATTCTTGTCCTTGACTGAAAACAATTGGTATTATATACACTGTCTAAATGTGACTTAAACTGAAACAAAATCTAGAAATAAACTTCTGTACTGTGATGCAGGCTTATGGAAGCAAACCCAGAAACAAGTGACAAAAAGTAATTTGTAGTACTGCAATGGACTTCCAAGTGGTTTAAATTCTTTGCAAATGTGACAGGTTCCAATTTTTCCATTTGGAATCCTTGTCCAGCTAACATTAAACAGCATGCCCTGTTCATATTGAACCCCTCAGGGCAATATTAAATGTTGTCAGGAAGGTTCAGAAATCCAGAAATGGAGGAGACAGAATAACTCTTACAACTTTATTCCATAGTGCTTCCCACCTTCCCAATGCTTCTGCAATTTCTCTCACGGGATCAATAAAGTATCTATCTACCTCTCGGAACACTTAGGTTCCTCTAAAAAACACTATTGGCATTCAGAGCTTCAGCACCTGCCCACCCCCTCAGACACTGGCTGAAGACCCACTGCGGTAAAGCTCTTTCAATACATCACTCCACTGTCTTTTCTCTTTCCTCTTTTTCTGTTGTGTCAAGCTGCACTGGAAAGTCTGTCAGAACTGAGAAAACATGCTTTAATAATGCAGTGAGGTGAACTTTGACCTTTCTGAGCATCTGAAAGTCTGAGAAGCACAGTGTCCACAGCAGCACCATAGCTGCTGCAATGAATGAATGCAACAATTATCTCTGAGTGATGTTACATATATCTTAAAACACAGTTTAATGTATATTTCATAAATGATATCTGAGGCATAAATATACGCAGTATGATATTCCCAAAAGTAACACTGTAACCCTGAAATGTAAGTTCCTCATGAGATGTGATCCCTTCTACATAGAAGAAACAAGTGTTAATTACCTTTGTTTAACAAACTGAAAAACTGACAGACTGGTAGTTAACAGTAAATTATTGACGAGCATTCCTTCACATTTATTCAATACTATAATATATTTCTTAGTGTATTTGTCTTCAATAGTCAAGTCAGCTTTCCTCAAACACTTGTTTTGACTGCTTAGTGCATTTGCACTAAATGTCTCCAGTCCATGACTATTCTATCAATGGAAAGATGGAGACATGTTCAGGAGTGTTCACATTCTTCCATGTAGAAACATTTAGCAGCACAATGTAAAAAAATGTGCCTTCTGGTTCATGTTTTGTCTTTGGCTGTCACTGCAGTGCAAACATGCCTGTTGCTACAGCTGACTGAATACTCAAATTTACAATTTTAAAAGATATTAGTCTTTTAATACATGCTTGAACACAGAAAATGATACATTCATGCTGGTAAGTATTTCTAACCCTGTATACAAACTTTTGAAAATAAATGTTGTTTTTTTTTACTGGCAGGAAGCACTTTCTTTGTTCCTTAAACTCTCAAGACTGTGAGTTTTTTTTTCTGCTTTCACGACAGGCAGTTTCATCAAAGGTAAGGAGAACAATACACAGTTGAAGGCTGTAACAGGAGAACTCACAGTCAAAGAAGCTGCCCTCTCTGCCTGGAAGAGTGGGAGGCTATGTCATCAGAAAAGCCATCATGGGGAGCCACACAATTTGCCACCTGGATGAGCAGAAAGCAAAAGGCTGATTAAGCAGATTGTGAGATGACTGTGCAGTGTTGATCAGCTCCTCTAAGCAACATTTTCCAAATGAAAAAAAAACGATATCACACTGCATTGACACAGCCTGCAGTGGAGCACTCTGCTCTCCTGTCTGCACAATGCTATTCATCTTCATCAAGGACGTCACAGCACCGCCACACAAACAGTACTTATATCCAGGGAGCTCTTGGCCACCGCGGAATAGCAGCCTGACACACTGTACAAGTGTTTGAGAAACATTATCCTACCATCATACAGACAGTACAAAATTTTATCATAAATACCATCTTAAAATCACATCTGAGCACACCTTAAACATCATCTTAAACTGCAGCTATCACTGATCTACAAGAACCATACAAAAAAGATTTCAAACAAAAACTCCCTACAATGAAGTTATGATGTCATGGCTTTTCTTCCACAGGCTGATTTACAGTACTCCACCCCTTTCCAATTTGACCCTATTTCTTCAAAAATGTTTGCCAAACAACATTTCTCCAGCACAAACAGGCACACCAGCCTGGCACTCACTCACCCTTTCTGAACTCCAGCTTTGTTTTGCCTTTGCTGGATAAGAACACGCTGAGCAGCAGAGCACTTACAGGCTCACTCTACCTGATGCTGTGCCATGGAGCACATGATTTAACGTGCCCAGCAAGAAAGAACAAGGGAACCGCTTGCAGTCGCCTTGGAGACAGATGCTTTCAAAAGGGAGGCTGGCCAATGAAAACTCCAGCAATTGTCCTCGGACAACAGTCACATGACCAGCAGGGTTTCTCTCTAAAGACAGCGTGGTTGTTCACAAAAGGAACTGTAGAAAGCCACCCTCTTCATTGTATTTTTTTTAACAGAGGCGGTTTCTAAACTGGCCACTGCTGTATACTATTTGCCAGCTTTACCCCCAGATATGCAATCTTCACTAACCTTCAACACACCCATTATTACAGGACAGCAATGCTGTCCAGTGTGCTCTAAAGAGCAGCATACCAGAAAAAAACCTCTTCACATCCAGCTCTGTGGTTCTGTTCACATGCCTTTCATAGTTTCAGCTACGTTATTTTGCTACAGAAAATTGTTGATGGTTCAGTTTGTCTACATTCACAAAGGTGAGGCAGTTTAGATGGCTAGAATACTTTCTCTCTGCTTGGAATTGCTAATTCCAGCTAGAAGTTCAAAATGATGTAAACTCAAACAGGTCTCGTGTTTTCCCCAAGGCTCAAGGCTTTTGAAATGAGTTATTCCCTGAAATAAACCTAACTTTCTGTTTTCAACTTCTGTGCCTTGACGTACAAAGACTTGCCACATGGAAATAAGCACTTTGAATAATAGCATACATTTTTTAGAGCCCTTACAATGCCCAAAATATAAACCAAAGGCTTCGGTATCTGTGTCAGACCCCATAAGGCCAAGATGTGGGACAGCGAGGTGTTTGAGTGTGCTCCATTTTGTTTCACTACATTACCACACTTTCTCAAGGCAGCATAAAAGCTGTAATAAGAACTCAGCTTCAGCGTCAATGCTACAGTTTTCGTTTCCACATTAATGCCTTCAATTGTCTTTTGATTTCTTCTGGTTACAAGCAAAGAGTTATGAATAGTAGAATCAGCAGAGCCTCTAGCAGAGCCTCAGAATGCCGACACAGACATAGAGGGGCACAAATTGAATCATATAATCAATAATTATTTCTTCCTCTGCTTCAAAAATCTCATAAGGAGCAGCGTAACAAACTTCCCAAAAGATCCAGAACCGATACCAGGAAACAGTTCTGTTATGAAGGGAACTGTGAATTCTTGGAACAAGAACACAGAAGCATGTTATTTATGATACTCTGCTACTGTATCTGAGCAGTGTTTTCCATCTCAGCTTCTGACATTTTCCCTTCACAAATCTTTACAGCTATGGCTTCAAGCTCAGATTCAGCAAAAATTTCACACGGTTTGTGAACAGTAATTTCACATGCCTCAGGTATTGACTCGCTAACAGCACACGGTGCTAAAAAATATCAGAAAGTCCCAATAATAATAACATAAATTCATTTCTGGAAGTGCATAAAACAAGAAGTATATTTACAGGCTATTGCAAAAATAAATCAATAAATTACATTTTTATAGCTAGTTTGTCGTTGATAAGACACAAAAAGAATATGATCATGAATACAGTGACAAATTACGTGTTTGAGAATGTGCAAATACCCCACGTTCTTTTTCATGTTCAGCGTGTTTTTAAGTCGATTACAATCTTCTTTTGTCAAGACAATTATATTGGATTCCAACAGCCATATGTACTATAATTTTATGAAACTGTAATGAGAGCAGAAAGTTTTAACAATGGATAATACTATTAGCAAGGGTTCCAGATTTCCAGTTAGGAAATATGTGCTGTACTCTTTAATGTATCTGAAACAGCTAGACTGAGTACACAGTGGACTGTGCCAGATTAGGCACGCTATTAAGTGTTTCAAACACCAAAGAAAGTAACAGAAAACTGTTGTTATGGAGGAAGTAATGTTTATCTGCTCTAATCAGTACTGTCTTGTTCAACAGCCTGTTGCAGCAAACCTACTATATATGGGTCACACACCAACGCACGTGAAGATCCATTCCAAACCTGGTGTCTCACAATTCAGAAAATCAAATATATTGACAGCCCCAGTATAATCAACAAGTGTCTCCTGCAAGGCTTAGAGCACCAGCCTCCTCTGAAAAAGTTCTGCAATTATCTACACAGCATTTCTACAACTCAGAAACTGAGATGCAAATATGTGATAAAATGGGTACAAGGCTCTCAGTGAAGAAGCAGGAAATGGGGGCAGTTTAAGATTTCTCCATCATTCTATTTTGAAAACTCAAACATCAATGCTCATTAATAATAATTAATGCTGCTGCATTCCAATGTGGATCTGATCACAGTCAAATAGATCAGAAACATTTCTTCCCATGAAGCAAAACTGCTCATTAAGTTTTACAACAGCACAAAAATAAAAGTCCTCCCATCTTATTTGATTAAACTCGGATTAAACTCAATACGCAACAGTGAGACCTTTAATGTGATACTACCTGTTGTTTGTCCTACAGGTTGCATATGAGCCTGACGTGCTTGAAAATGTCAATGGTAAGTGCATAGCCCCTGTCTCTTTAGGTATTACACACACATATGTGACATACACACTTTATAACTTTCAAAAATGCCTAGTTTAGAATTACTTAGAGACAGCACTGAAAAGCTAAACTCCAACTTTCAAAATGATTGCATCATCCTCTTGAAGGGTGAAAAAGTTATGTCAAACAATTAAAATAATGTCAGATCTTAGTCAATCTGCTGATTAAATATTTTTAACAAATCCACAATCTGCTAATTAGCACCATCTGTACCACAGTGCAGTAAAAATGAACACAGTAATGTACAGTCTAGGTGAATAACTGAGATATTAAATTTGACATTAGAACAAGTTAAATGAATTAGAAAAATAAATAAGCATGGTAAAGGTCTGAGAGAGCTGCTTGTCAATTTTTTACTGTTCCTAGATTTGTTTTTGTGACAGACCTATTGCATTTTAAATAACCTCAATAATACATATAAGGCATAAAAGAAAAGGCAAACTTCTGGCAGTCACAGGTGATGTTTTACTAGCCTAGCAGACTACTTTACAAGCAGAATGACAGCACTTACAAAGTTTTACATTATTGGTAGGTGCCAATAAAAGAAAAGATATGACTACAAGCCATTACAGTACAAAATGCATTAATAAATTCCAACAAGTCACAGTGATACACAAAAAAAAGAAGCACTGAAGACTACAACAATATTGTGTATGCACACAAAAAGAGGACATACAAAGAAGTAATGTGGACAACATTTTTGGATGTGTTATTTTCTAGTGAATTGTAACAAGCAAAATATACAGTGCCCTTCAGAAGTACTGGCACAGTACCTCAAAGTGAAGCAATTGTATTTACAGTATGCTTGTGAGATTAAAATAGATGATAAGTGTTTTAATGTATGTTTTAGTTTGGGAACTTCCTTCCATACATTTGATCTTTACAACAAAGACATACTTCATGTCCAATCCAGTGATTTCAAGTGATCTTAAGTACTCGGACAGTTTAGTTTAAGTAATTTTAGAGTTTAATAGTCAATACTTTGCTGCAGATTCCTTTGAGACAATAACTGCATAACTGCATGAAGTCTGTGACCTACTGAGCTCAGCAAACCTCTTGTGAAATTATCCGAGATGAGCTTTACCAAACCTTTTCTTAAGGCACTTTGAGTTTGTGCTTATTCCTGGGTTGTTGTTTTTCTTATTGTAGTGTATATTGGATCAATTGGATTTAAAACAGGAGATTGAAATGGCATCTTTTTTCCTTATTTTCTCTTGATGAACCCTTCCTTCACATTGGCAGTATGTTTTGTCACTGCCACTGCATAGCAAAGTGCCGTCCAATAGGTATGGAAGCATTTTCTTCTACATTAAAAGACAAATCGCTTCTTCATGCTTCAGAATTCATTTTGCTTCTGCCAACGCAATACTTTAAGAACATCATCAAAAAATTCAAGTAAGCCAGTTCCAGAGACAGTGGTTGAATTCTTTAACCTGACCAGCAGGACACGGAGACCTAACACGAATAGTTCAAACTGTGGTGATGTATGTTTGGGAATGACAGAGTTGAACCACAGGAGGAGGAAAACACCTGACAGGGGCCAGCACTTGAAATATGTCAGGCACAGAGGCAGTACTATGACTTCTAGGTTGCTGTGTAAAGAATGCCAGCTTTTAGAATTTTCCCTGCCAGCTTTTTAGAATTCATGTAAATTTGGAGTTCCGATGTGATGGAGAACAAACAGTACTTTTTAAACATTAAGACAGATATATGAAGACACATTGATTTTAGCAGTATTTACAGGCATGAAATTAACAGACAAAGCCTTGTTTCAGCAACAAGTAATTAATCTTTTACCTTTTGAAAAAAATGACATCCAAATACTGGCTCACCATCAATAGCACTCGTATGTTGAATAAGAACTTTTATTGCATTCAGAGCAATCTTTCCACCTGCTGAAACAATACCTTAAGAGTTATTAAAGTAAGCCTGTTATTGCTCTTTTACCATGTAAGCTGTAAACTAGCAAACAATTCTAACTGCTTTGTCAGACAAACCTACCGATATGTCGCAAGTGGCTTTAACAAAGGTCAACACACATTAAAAACGTCAACTTAATTTGAAAATTAGAAACAATAAATGACTATTCGTTGGGAAATGTATACATACGATTATTTAATCGTATTTTATAGTGTTTTTCAAGGCAACGTAATTACCATACTATGGACGGGACCACTCTTTCTTATTCATTATACTGAATTGATTAACGTCTGTCAATGGGGCAACCAACAAAACTGATGGTCAACGGAAGAGCTGGGTAAAAACAGCCCCCTGTACTATCAATTCCGTAAAATGGCTCTCTTAAAACTATAAACCGCACTTGGAAATAGATGCTACTCGTATATTGTAAAGTAGATAGGAAAATACTTACACTATTTTGCCCTTGTGTTAATACAACGTAACTCTTCTTAGCTAAGTATTTAAATATTAGTAACATTTACTATTTCTATTACTCGATCCTGTTTGCTTGCATAAATTTTAACCGTTGTTTGTGTAACTTGTTAGGGAGTGTTTTTTCGCGTTTAACATATACGAAATACACGCAGCAGAGTTAGATCTGAGAAATTATTAAAACTTCAACATGTAGCTTTTCCAATGCGTCATAGAGTGCAAACACACCTTACCATTCCGGAGTTTACTTCTTTTCTGTATTTTCAAGGCTGCACATCCGTTGTAGGAAATTTTGTCATTGTCTACAGACACATGTTGCTTCTCGACGTGTTTTGAGAGAACCAACTTTCTCCCCCAGGCTGTTTACAGACTTTCCGCATTATTACTCGGAGTACAAAGGCTTCAGGCACCGCAGCATCTTAAAGGGACCGATGCACAGACTAGCCGCAACCTCCGATTTTTAATCAGGTGGAAGCTTTATTTACGCTGCAAGTCTAGAGAATCGGTGAAAAATACAATTTCCCTCTAAATAATGTGATTTTTGGTTCTTAAAACCTTGAATAAAACTATTTGCTGAATTATAAGCATTGCTTTTTCTTTTTTGCTATGGAATTTTAAGTACTTTTTTAAAAATAATATCCAACACCAATAAGGTCTAGATGAAAAGTCTCAAAGATTAAAAGAGACAAAATACACATCGGTGCAGCCTAACCTGTCGGGTTTTTTTATTTCCACACAATGGGATTGTACAGTAGTCGGACTTATCCCTATCAGCCCAATTTCAAATTTACCTAATTTAACTAATTTCAGTGTTGTGAAAGTGTAATTTAAGTTCTGTTAATTTGACACCCCAAAAAAAAACACGCCGGTTAAGTTCATTTAAGTATTTAAAGTTCTTTATTATTTTGGTCTATTATAGCTAAAACAATCAGCCTTAGGAACAGTTAACAAACAAAAAAACTGATGGAATCTGATTTAAAGTTAGTTGTTAATTAGGTCAAATTGCTCCAAATATATAAGAAAATAAACCTGGTTACTATTTCAATAATGGCTTTATATTTATACAGATTTTGATTTATGTCCTAAATAATAAATCAACAATAATAATCATTTGACCTATTGTACTGGTAATAAAAGATCTCATTCAATTTGTTGATGGTATTCAATGCTGTTGGTCTAAAAATAAATGTTAAACAGATAAGACTAGGCCATGATTATTTGATTAATTGTTGGATCAATGTTATTGGACTTACCAAACTAAACCAATAAGCAATATTATATGGCACTATGATTATATGGCACATTTTGTGGTCATATTCCCCAGTGTGTTGACACTGAGTCAGGCTGGTAAATAGGATACAATGATACATCATTTTTAAATCTTTATTTTGCAAAAGCGGTCAAAGTTGAAATCTTAACAAAAATATTATTATTAATTTATATGGCTAATGCGTTTATTGAAAGTGGCTTGTATTTTATACATATAAGATTACCTTATTGGTCATATACAATTTCTTGAAGTAGGAATTTGTCTTTTCGTATACCCCAACTTGCTCTGCATGAGACACATAGACAGGGAGAGAAGCTTGGGGTCAGGGTGCAGGGTCAGCGGTCAGCAGGGTTTATACGGCACCCCTGGAGCAGTTGGGGTGAAGGGCCTTGCTCAGGGACCCAGCGGACTAGGATTCCTCTGCCAGCCATGGGATACGAACTGGCAACCTTCCAGCCACAGGTACAGATCCACCGCATCGCCCATGCACATTTTACTGAAACAGTCTGAATTAAGTTAGAGTCCAGTCCAATATATGAACCAAACCCAAAAAATATCCAGATCTCTGGTACTGGTTAGAGCACAAAGAAGTACTTATTGTCACAGGGCTAGGTGACAAAACTGGAGGTTTTTGTGGGTAGTCAGATGTTAGTTTTTCTATTATATGGAATCAGGTTTGAAATGGTATTCTAAAACTATTCTATCTTACTGTGCTATATTACTAGCACTAGAGTGTGCTACTGTATCTTCTATCCTCACACATGCAAAGCCTCCACTGCAGAGCTTAGCTTTGTAATTCGTTTCCTGCAGTTTATTTTTAACATCAAAACGAAGGAATCATCTGTAAGTCAGATAAGGCTTTCTAAGCACTTGCCTTTAATTCACTGGTTATTTCCTGTTAAATGTCTCTAGCAACAGGTTCCCCTCTGCCTCCTCCCATTTTGGATCCTGCTTAGCAACCATCAACAACAGTACAGCCAACTTATTAACACACATCAAGTCCTCGCAAATCACCAAACACAGGGGAAAGAGCATCATATTCTCAGAAGTGGTAAGTGTACAGAAAAGCCTTTGTAAGTCTTTACTGTAGTTCACCACATGTAGATTAATTTAAACAATAATAGTCATATTATAATGCTAATAAAAACTTTCTAGGTAATTCTGAAGAGCAACTGAGAATTTTTATTTGCACCATGCTTGTAATTTGTATTTAAGATTTCACCAAGGCTTACACAGTTTTCCCACGGTACACTAGAACAGGCTTCATGAAGGGAGAAAATGAACAATAATGTTTTCTGCATGAAAATAGGATTAAAAACATAAAATACTATACTATAATATAATAATATAATATTATAATACTGTACTATAATAAAAGAGCTAGCTGTTTTAGGGAATAACCATTCATAGATGAATGGAAGTATAGCGCATAACTAAAATATTGATTTTTGTTTGTGTGTTTAGTGTGTTTCTGCAGGATAAAATGTAATAGAGACTAGGATTATATCACATTTTCCATCCTTTTTGAAAAAGGAAAAATCAGACACTATAAAGTGAAAAAGAAACATAAAACGCTGTCTGCAATAAAGCTTGAAAATGAAAATTGACTTACAGTACGTGACAGCTTGTACTTCCATTCATTGTTCTTACCAGGCAAAAAGAACTGGAAAGTACTGTGATAGTAAATACGGTGCTTTGTGAATGGAACTCACAGTTTCACAACATACTGTAAGCAGTAAAAGAACACCAAGTTCAAATGTCTGCAATAAATAATGAAAAACTGCAGCATATCTTGGTTCTCACAGGGCAAAGAGCACGCTAATTAAAGTTAACAGACCAAAATTTAACAAAATATCCATTATCTGTTTTCCTATGGAAGGGTATGGGGTTTTTTTAAGCTCATTGTACTTTGATGACGAAATCCTTCCCAGAATTTTACATCTTTAAATGGGTTTTGTTTGGTTGTCTGAAATGCTGTTATCATGCTTGTTATCTTATAGGATTGCAGGCTGTTCACATCTGTTTGCAAACCTGCTGGCTTATTTAAGAAAGCAACAGTAAAAATGTGAGTTATAGGCCCCCATGTAAACATTACAACATCCATAAACCTGGAAAAAGCATTCCTGCACAAGCTGAGTATCTGCAGAACATCTAACAACCTGTTCACTTCTGTCCACACTTTTTCTAGTGCCCACAATCTGCAAACAAGTGCCTTCCCATTAAATCTCAGCTTTGTTATCTGATACTGTTAAGTGCCTTTTCCTTAATTTCTATGTGTGCATACTGGGGCCACATAGTATATTTCATAAAAATTAAGAGGTCAAGTTTGGTTACAATTTACCCTTAGGAAAATGGACATTATTCTTGTGAAAGTTTTATTTTTTGTGATTTTGTAGTCCTAGGCCTGCTTGTTTTGTGAACAAATTGTGTGGTTCAGAAATTTATTTTTCAAAGGGTGTGCAAAGCTTTGCCCACAAGGTATGCTGGATTTATCTGGATTTATCTTCTGATAAAGAAGGGAAGTGCACATAGTTGAAAAAAAGCTTGTTTGACTGACAGTGAGAGTGCAAGAAGCCGGCATTCTTTATTTTCCTTTCCACTTTGCAAAAAGTAATGAGAAACTTTATTTGTGTTTTCTTCATTTAAACAAAGTATTTTAACCTCATCAGTGAAGCAACAGATTTATCAACATGTTGTCAGCCCCTCATGTATACCACTTAACCAGCACATTGTCTCAATGAAAGGTGCATTTTAATGAGAACGAGCTGGACTGACAAATTAGGGGCCACTGAAGAGAAAGGAGTAGGTTCAAATCCCAAGTGGGGGATCCTTTTGCACCCACAAGCAAAGCACTGCACTTCCTTTCTGCACGAGAGTGCCCAGGTATACGAATGGGCACTAGCAGAAGCTGCTTTGGGGTGCGAGAAAACCTTGTTTCATGTGCCTGAGGCATAGGAATGGCAGCCCATGTCACACACCCTGCAGTTCAGTGCTTGTGCTGATACACAATGAAGACCCAGCATCATGTATGACTAAATTTTATGAGGGATGCACAGCATAATTGTATTCAAAACAGGCTTACACCAGGAACAGTTACAAGTCACGACATTTTTTATAGTTATTGGCCACATTATTAGTTTTCATCATTTTTACCCATAACAAATGAACGTCAGAATGAAATCAACAGAACATCTTCTTTCTTTCAACTTGCTACTAATAGGTAATTTTCAAATATTGTGAGCGTCATACCTGTATAGCAAAGACACAACCATAAAAACAAAATGTTTGTGATGCCTCTAGACCTTTACCAAATGCTACAGTATGCATGTTAGATAAGGCAGTTAGACATATTTCATTATATAAGACAAACAAATTACCCATCCAGGTGGCTAATTAAATTTTGCTGCAATATGAGACAAACCTTTTATGTGTATAGTAGAAGCTTTCTCAGGCAATGTACGCTTGCCTACAAAATATGTAAAATCACTGCAGGAGCACTGTGTCTTATCACAACCCTTTGTCCAGGCATGTCTGACTGGCTTTCAGGGGGTGTGACCAGCATACAATCCCATCATTCATAACCACCAGCTCCCCATCCATTTTGTCAATCAATCATGTTTTATTTTGTACAGTACCCTTTAATCAAGGGGATCTGCTGCAAAACACTGTTTCCAAAACTGACCCTGAGGTACATACCAGAGAATCCAGAGAAAAGCTGGAAAACATTTCATCATATGATTAAGGCTTTCATCAATTGAAATATCAAATTTCTTTAGCTGACAATCTATTGCCTTCCAGTATTGTTTCATTATTACAGTAATATCAAAAGCATAATCATACTGGATTTGCCAATATAAACAGGCAGTTGACATGCTTGAAAAATATTACTTCAGTTGGCCGTTGTCAGTCCATCAAAATATTCAATCATTAATTAATAAAACATTAATTAATTATTAGCATAATCATTATACATACCGTTAAAGGTTTTGAAGAGAATTGGTGATCATGACACAGAAGAAGCAAAGCAATTGAATCCTTCCATCCATCCATTTTCTAACCTCTTTATTGAATACGGAATCATGAGGGAGCCTGAGCCTATCCCAGCATGCAACAAGCAAGCACAAGGCAGGGCACACCTGGGACAGGACACCAATCCACTGCAGGGCACACTCACACCAGGACCAATTTTCCCAGAAGACAATTAACCTCCCTGTATGTCAGGGAGAACATACAAACTCCACACAGATAGGTCCAAAACTGAACCCAGAGCTCCAGCACTGTGAGACTGCAATGATAACCACTACACCAGGGTGCCTCCCCACAACTTAATCTGTAATTCCATGTTAAAAGCAGTGCTTGAGTCAGTCATCCTGTCCCTAGGGAAGTGACAATCAGATAGTGCTGAAAACAAGCTGCATTCTTCTAGGTGACATTCTGACCTTTGTAAAAGCAAAAACCACATTAAATTCTTTATTTCTAGCATAGAACTATGAATATTTGCTAGGTATTATATTTTCAGTTTCTCAATTAAATATTCAGGCTGCCTGGCTAAAATGACTAACTTTGCTCTTTCCCTCAAACTGAATGATTGACTTTTCAGTCTTTGCCGGGAAATTGCACTTAGACTCTTCAAGGTTTCAAAGAAAGAGGTGGTTCACAAGTTGGGAGGTATTTCTTGAGGATTAAGAATCATAGCACTTGCTGTAGTAAGTAATCTAATGACTGAGTGGATTACCTGTGATGAACAGGCAGTTTCTTGTCAGACACATTCTGAAGGTTTACCATAGGTTTTGCTCCAGTAAGTGTAAAGAATGAACCATTATTATCAGTGCTCACTGCCACTCAGATTAAAACATATGAATAAAGTATTTGCTTTCTGCTTTGGGGCCTTACAAAGGATTTTTGTTGTCTCTTTTTTTTCTTAAGAAGATAAGGGCAAAGATGGATGGTAGGCAGACCAGCCTGACAGAACAGCAGAGGCTTCAGTTTCAGCAGATTGCCAGTCTGCACAGTCAAATCAAGCAAGTGCAGGCACGGGTATGTGAAACAGAATCGCATCTTTTCATCAAGCCAAACAATCCGACACCATAAAAACAACAACATACATCATTCAAATGACTGTTCAAGCACCTTCAACACTTCCTAACCTTATATTAGTTTAATGTTACAGGTCTGCCATGTAAAAAACTACTTTTTTCCTGCTAACCCCCTGGCGTCTTGCATTTTCCATAGAAAAACTACATGACTGTTCAAATTCACAACACTTTGATCATTTTACCTTATGAGAAACAAGTCTAGCAAATGCAGAAAGTCCCACCTCCGGTGCGTATTGCCTCCTCAGGACACCACTGGCAAAGAGAGTTTTATAAATAAAGTAATGATGGGACTCTCATGATGGCAAAAATGGAGCACAGAGACTCTCCACACCCTATAAAGTGAAAAATGAGCAAATGAGACCCTCCATCTCAGAAGGTTTAAACAAATGAGTTAGGGACCCTGGAATACGACAAAGGCCCCCACAAAATAAATATCAGCAATCACTAATAGCAAAACCTTGTGCTAGTCCTGTTGGCAAACGGTTTTGTATTGTTTCATAGAGAGCACATCATGAATTACGTACCTGTAAAAGCGTATTTTGTTAAAAACGGTCACGGGCTGTAATGTTCCATAATTCCTCAGAGACTGTCCAGGGTATCTTCAGAAACAAAGAGAAACTTTTTAGCCCGGATCTAGTGGTGTGTGAAATTAATGCTCTCAGGCAGCGAATTTGCTCTGATAGTGCTTACACTGGCTTTGTGGACTTGCAGGTCTGTAATTACAGTATGATTTTGCAATGTATTGTAGTTGTATTTATAATACTAACAGGCTTATGTTTATTTTTAGATTTTAAAAGTGGCCTTACTGACAGAGATTTCTGGAAAAAAAGATTTTCTTCAGTAAAAGAGGGTTGAAAATCAGCACTGTAAATCTTAAATATAAAGTATAATTTAGTATTTAGTTCCTATCTCTTCTAAATGACTTCTAATTTGATATTAAAACTGAGTATGATTGACTCTTGACAGATTTGAGGTAAGCTTTGACAAAGTGAATGATACTGTATGTTATTGAAATTTAAATCAATTAAATGTCTCCCTAAAACTAAACAATTTACAAGTATTTATTAATTGACAGCTCTACACTATAAGAAACATAAAGAAATGTAAATGAAGGGCTCATAAAATATAATTATTAAATCAAGTATTTCTGATATGTTTGAAGTTTCTGCTAAAGAACATTCTAACAGAAGGAAAATGCAACAGATTTTTAGAACCGTTTTATGATGACCAAACTTTGCTCCATATTTTGCAATGGAACTGATGGACAAATAAAATTGATATTTTTAAGTGTAATCCAGATGTAGCTTTTAGAACGTTAATGAGAATTATTTAAGGTTAAACAAAAATGAAGTAAATTGTTGCCCCAAACTTTTTAAAGCTTCAGTGTTGACAGTAAAACCACTCAGGTCATTCAGATAGATCGTGCACTAGCTCTGAGGTGATACTACAAATGGTCTGGTAAGGATGAGGGTTGTTTCAGAAGCTTTTGTCATTGTTATCTTACTGGTTTGCCCTGTTGTGGACAAATGACTCAGTCTCTGAATTAGTGCAGGCTGCAATCTGATTTGAGGTGGTGTGACTCCAGGTTTATGTTTTGTTTTGAAATTCCCTTGACTTTGAGCAAAGAAACACCTCAGCCCATGTGCCTGTTCTCCCAGTGTCTGAAGTCTTACTTGAGGAGCCCCTGACAGGATCAGACTTGTCCAAGAATTTGTTTCAATATGATTTACACCTGTGTGCACCCTCTATGGCCCTGTGTGATGAAGGGTTTGTCAAATTAAGAAGGACACTTGTTGTGTACTCCCACAATCACACCTTACAAACTGCTCTATAAACTAGCTGAAGATACAGTGAGTCTGACAGTTGCCTTGTTATTCTGCAACTACTACAGCTTTATTGCACTTTGATTTTTTTGGCAAATTATGTAAGCAAAGCTCTTCCCTGCAATGGGCTGGAGTCTAGGCTGTACCCTGCCTTTCACCGAAGCTTGCTGGGATAGGCTCCAGCTCCCTGCAATGGAATAAGCCATTAGAAAATGGATGTAAGTAAGCAAAACTGCATTTGTAACTATCTGAAGTAGCTTTTATGGTAAAAGGAAAAAATATTGATGGTGAAAAGAAGCAGGAATAGTGCCCTTTTGCTTTCTTATTTAATCTGGTAAACTGAGTCAGACAATTATTCTTAAACCAATTGCCACAACACACCCAAAAGATTAATGCAAATTCCTATATACAATGCAGTGAAATAAAAATGTAGTTAAATTAAGAATGGAGAGCTACAACTAATGGATAGTAAGAACTATGTCCTTACAACGGTCAGTGAGTTAGCCAGACTCTCAGGTCCAAAGAGGGCCAGTATCCAGTGTTCCAAGTTCTTCTGGGACAGAATTTGAGTCATCAGATGTGCTGTGTTCTTGCCACTGGCAGTGCCTGTTTAATGTTACATAATCATGGGTATTCACACAACAATGGTGAGAGAACATTTCTGCTGCTATGCAGAAAGCTCAGTCTTAACAGGAACTGTGTAATGACCCTAAAATAGTTTTGCAAGAGCTGTCATTTTCCACAATGAAGCCAGTCATCATTTTCAAAGAGAAAACTTCCAGCCGGTCATTGATTTGTACGTCTCTACAGTTTGCTTATGTGCTTTTGCCTGAGAGACACTCATACTGTAGGTCTAGTGAATAAAGCTCTTTCATTTTTATTCAATTCATCTTTTATTGTGTGCTGTGTTGGACTTTGAGCAAACGGTGACTTGAAGAATCCAGAAGTATTCAAAGAAGTCATCCTAGACAATAACTAAGTAGAGAAACTGAGACATAGATTGAAATGAGTCTGCTTTGAACAGTGCTGCAGGTAGATTAAGCTGCCAGGGCATGTTGTAGAATCTGGTCCATTGATTTGCTTTAATGAAAATATTGAAATGATCACAAGAGCAGTAAACCACTGGCACACAGTGGGCAATGGGAAGAGGTTCTTATATGTAACCTAATGTCCTGATTGTGACATCTGAATGTAGGCCTGGAAAGAGAGCTGTGAATAACAGGGACAAACTGGGTTTTCACAGAAGAACAATCTTCTACAGTACCTGTTTAAGATGCCTTCCGTCTTCAAATACACTAATGCACTAATGAGAGAGTTCAAATGCACTTGAGTCATGTATTTTTAATGTGCGGTATTCCAGCCTGTGTAGGTACAGTACACATTCAAATGCCACCATTCAGAGATCTTTATTCAATGAAGCTCTGCTAATCACCCTGTGAGTGACCGGCGAGGGCTCTGCAGGTGTTGCTCATCCCAGACATGACCGAACAGATCTGGGATAACACATTGCCGTTGGCATCTCAGTCTGACATGCTGCCAGCTGGCACAGGCAGTGAGCCAGGTGGTACGCCTCACCTGTGAATGATGGCTGTCTGTTGTAAGGATCAACTCTGCTCTCAACCCTGCAGCTCCTCTGTGCCTCAGGCGACATGTCTATTAATATAGTCAGATAAACTGTAAGGAAGAACCTGTCCTGCCACAGGGGAAAAGGTTCATTTTCATGACTGATCAGACTGATCTTAATGATTGACTTCACCATGATCAAATGGACAGTCAGTGTATTTAAAATATCTTTATATCCTTTTCCTGATCTGCTCTTTCCTACAACTTATATAGAACGCTCCTTAGTCTTCATGGTTGAATATTTGCTTGAAATGCACTACCTAATGAGGAACAGACACTGACATACTGTATGTTCTGAAGTCACTATTATTGTACACAGAGTCACTAGTTAACTAGTGGTTTAACTTTTTAAAGTTTGTGCACCTCAACTAATTTAGGTTGTCATAGCAAAGAGAGACACTTCTTATGCAATCACCATATTTTCATTTTTGATCATTCTTTGTGTTTTTTGCTGACATTCACACCATGAAAGTGATTTTGAATTAAAATTCTTCACTTTAAAAATGTGTACACATAATCTGTTATTCAGCACAATGGGACAACTTTTTGAAAGAGGGTGAACACTTTTGCATGACACTGTACATTGAATTGGCTGTTTCTAAACTTGACATACAGTAGCCACTATAGTCCCAGCCAACAAATGGGGATCTAACTATTTCCAACTGATTTTAGGATGCCGTTTGAAAACATGAAATTTCAAAATCAGACCATTGCTCTGTTAGTAGAGCCTGGCATTCCTACAACAGTTTCTGTGAAAACTCACATTGCTTATAACGTCCTATTTAATCAAATTCAGATTCTGGGAGAGGAAGTGAACCGAAAGCTGCTTGCCCAAGCATTCAGGGAGCAGTCCTGCCATCACAAACAGCTGGAGAAACTGGAGTCACAGCTTCAGGTGAGTCTGACCTGCCCATTTGATGACAGCAGTGCAGCTATTAATGACACAGTTACCCTGATGCAGTTAGTGTCCATCTCTGTCACTGCTGTGAGCGTTCCTGTGAAGTTAAGGAGAGCTACTCCACTGAATGTAATAACAAATTACAGTACAAATTGAAATTAAACAAGCAGCTTCACAGTCTAACTGTGGATGTAATTAATGGAATAGATGGAAGTTCTGTTTCCTTTAAGAATACACTAAAAATAGTTTAGGATCTCTCAGACTATTGCAATATCAGTAGTTATCCATACATATTCCAGCACAAATAATTTACTGGGGCCTTTTTATTTGTTACATATAAAATAAACAAATGCCAGTTTTTGTTATAAATTTCAGAAAGTCGTTGATAGGTGAATATTCTATTTTTCCATTGTTCTTCAGAATCTACACACACAAACCCATGTGCCAGCATTAAGGTTCTTGTCACATACTGTGCCTCAGTGCATTTACAGTACTGCACATTTTCACTTCCTTTCATAGCCCTTGTTGGCTTGTTCCCTTCATACATAGTTCTGCGCTGCTGTGTCCTTTTGTTCTATACCTTTGTTATCAGAATTTTCCTATGCTGAGATAAACCTTCAACTCAGCAGTTTATGATAATTTGTCAAACCACACGAATATATAATAGGAAAACTTGAAAAACAGGGCACCTCAGATGTCAGAATTGCTGCCTTGGATTCAGTTCTGGATCTGGGTGGAATCAGTGTGGAGTTTGCGTGTTCTTTCAGAGTTTCAACCCGCAGTGCAAAGACATACTGGCTTCTAGAAAAAGTCGTCCTGGTGTGACTGTGTCTGTGTTTATGTCTGTGTGTGCCATGAGATGGACTTGCATCCATCATCAAAAACATATCCTTTATTGGATATTGGGTTTCTATGACATTTTTCTGTGTGCATATTGTATTTGCACAAAAGTACCATGGTTCAAGTAGCTTCTCTTTATTCATTTTCAGACTGTCCAGAATGAAGTCTACCAGCTGATTGGAGAGCCTGGTTTGGTTCTGTACAGCAACTTCTTAATGACTCCAACCCAACTCTCAACAGCATGTCAAAGTGTCTTCAGGTTTTCTAAAGCTGAAAGGGCCATTAATCACTTTGAACTGTGGTTTACAGTCACCAAAATGTTTCAAACTCATGATTGTCTTGTCAAATCAAAAGTGTTAAATGTGGCAATGGCAATCATAGGATGTTTTGTGATGCAGAAATTAGGGAAAATGTGCTTTGTATCTTATGAAACTTACAAACTACTCCATTCTTTGAATGAGACATAAAATTGAGATCCTGCTGTAGGACAATTGGAGCACCAACTTTTGATATGCAATTCATTACCTGCATGTTGTTTGGGACATCTGTGAAATGACTAATTGTTGTAGTTCTAATTTTCTAAATTTGTCTTCCACAACATTTTTAATTTAGTCTGATTTATACATTAAACAACAAAATACTTTTTATATTTAGCATAGGTTTTGGCTAAAATGAAATGCTCACCAATGAGAAATATTCATAAAAATTATTTAATGTGATATAGCTTTGGAAAAAAGTGTAACTGTTTGGTTTCAGCCTTTAAGGTTTGAATGTTAACATCCGAAGTAACACAACTGCAGAGGAAAAACTTAAGTTTGAATGCAGATTGTACACTACTAGCAGCAGAATTCAGGCAAAATGCAGAGGACGTACGTAAGAATTGTTTGTTTTGTGTATCTGCTACAAAATAAGATCTGCATTCATGTTATGCAGTTCAGATGATCTTTCAAAGAATCTTGTCCTTCAGACATGGAATCAGATATTAGAAAACAGATTCCACAAGAAAAGGTGAACAAGAAAAGTAGCTTCAGCTACATTATGATGAATATCAACTGCAAACAATAACAGGAAGAGTGCCACATAGGAAAACACATAACTTAATTCCATGATGAAAAATTAACACAATGCATTGTCTGTTGTGCCTTTTCAGTCATGTGTAGATGATGCCATTCATTGAATCATTGATTTCAGTAACTCAGGAATCAGTATTAAAGGCTGACTGACAGGTCCTGGGTGACTTCTGAACTCTTCCTCCAGCTCCTGGAGCTCCTGTGTGATTTCTGAATTGTGGTAGTTTCTGAAAAGGAAGGCTATTATCCATCACTTAAATTATATATCACTGAAATTTCACTTTAAATGGCCAAGCTTCACATATCAGTAGGTGTGAGTGCTGCTGTGGGATTTTCAAGTTAAAAAAAGTCTCTTTCAGATGCTGTGAAAAAACAACAGTGCTAAAATCATGCTTGTGTCCTGGCCTAATTTCAAGCATATCTTAATGACACTGCTTGGGTACGTCACTCAAACTGTCGTAGACTGACATAGACTGAATTATCTTTACCTCTGTTAACAAAGTTATGTTCCTTCTGCCAGTCTTCTGAAGCTCTTTAAACTGCATGGGGTTTATTGATAATTATTTTATTTTTTTTATAGCACACAGAAACACTCATCTAGTGCTTGGGCAAATGACCAACACATGGTAACCACTACTGAAGCTGAGATGCCTGCAGATAGACTATCTGACAAAGGGAAATCTGATGGAAACAGTGAGCCCAGCAACTCTATAACCTCCTCAACTCCATATATATCCTTAAAGGACCATTCAGGTAAAATATTTTATATAAACCATTTATATTGAACACAGAGAGAACATCCATCCATTTTCTAACTGCTTTATCCAATACATTGTCGCAGGGAGCCAGAACCTATCCATACAAACAATAGATGAAAGACATGATACACCAGTCCATCGCAGGGAGCCAGAACCTATCCATACAAACAATAGACGAAAGGCAGGATACACCTTGGATGGGACACCAGTCCATCGCAGGGAGCACACAGGCACAGATACAGACATTCACATCAGAAGCCAATTAATCTCCCAGTATACTGTATCTTTGGACTGTAGGAGGAAACTCAGGCAAACACAGGATAGCACCCCAGAAATTGAACACAAGGCCATAGCACTGTGAAACAGCTATGCTAAATACTGTGCCACAGTGAAAACAAGTATTTAAACAGAAAATTCATTTAAGGCCTACACTGCAGATGGAATTTATAAACACCCCCATTTAAAGAGTTTGTTTTCATGCCAAAAGTAGGTAACTGGGTGTTTTCAGACCAGACTAACAAATCCCATCCAAACTAGAGGTTTGGATGGGATTAAAAAAACATTAGTGAAAGTCCAGTGAAGAGCAGCAATTCTGGGGGCTTAATTAAAAGGACATTAATTAAAACTACAGGCTGTAGGAACTTAATCTTTTTAGTCTCAAACAAGATATCTGAGAAGTGATCTGATCAAAGGTTACACTAATTTCAATTTCACACTAGGGAAAGAAAATGTTTACACAGAGAGATATCGATGTAAGTAATGCAATACAGAGTCTCAGAGTGGAACTATCAGATTTTGGTGTGGTGCTGTGATAGACACTCAGCCTGTAGGAAAATAAGACAAACCCCATAGGCAGAAATAGGCCTGTTCTCTTCCTCAGCTTTTTGTAAGAATAAGTATCCAATGATGCTGTCACAGTGATTGCACTGACAAAATGTAACCATTCTGTACGTCTTTCTATGAGAACAATGTCGCAAATGAAACCTAATGTACCTTAGGCATATTTGAATCTCCACCCAAACATAGAAAATTTTATAGCTGCAGGTAGACAATGCACATGTCATGCCTGAAGATCGTTAGTCATCTGGGAGTGTCATTGAGTAGGAGCAGCTCGCGGCTCAGTGGCACAGCCACACCAACCATCTCAAACACATCATCACATATTTCCAAATGAGATCTGTTGCAGAACAACCCTGAAACATGTGCAGGTAGGTACCAGACACACTTTGATTGTGATGCAGAGAGTTGGGTACAGTCTTGATATGGAATTGCCAGCCTGGAATGAAGTACATTCTGTATCCAATTTAACACAGATTAGCTGATGAAGGAGAAAATAACATCCTTTATTCATCGCAGTCAGGACTGCCATCCATTTTGTCTGTCTATCCTGAATTAAGACAGCTGTGAGGAAGGACTTGATTTTAGATTAGGTAAGAAAGCCACAGATTTAGAAAACAGCCTACATGCCTCGAGTGACTGATGAAACAAGCAACCACTGGGTGATCTAGTTCAGGAGCGTCTCCTCACACACCATGCATGTGCAGGCCTGGGCAGAGGGCAAGATACAGGGAAAATAAACAAATGAGAGAAGGGCTAATAATTGGTTGCTAAAAGCTAATTCATCAGAATATCTCATTCTGAAGAAATGACATGTCACATTAATTAATTTTAGTCTCCCACCACCATTTGAACAAAGAAACATTTTCTAGTCTCCACTTCTAATTGGCTCTGTTCACTACTAAATAGATGCAGTTCCCTTAACTTGTATCGCTTGTTGCTCTTACCTGTATCAAAATTTTGCATTTTACGCTGAGAAATTAATCCAGTCATGCCTATTCTACAAGCATTTTAAGAGACAACATTTCATGAGTCTGAAGTTATCTGAAGACAACACTGACATTCATGCTGGATCATTTAATTTTCAGATATATTCTGTCAGAGGATGTCCTTGTCTACACCATCAAGAGCTGAGGACAGCCCATCTGATGAAAGTACTGTCAGTGCCAATTCTTTCAGCAGGTCTCAGGAAATTCTCAGCTTCTACCTTTGCTTGTCTTTATAGGACAGACAGTATTTTCCTAAAGGCTTTACTGAAGGAAAAGGCAAGATAATTAATTTTGGGGAGCGCAATGGGCATTACCATCCATAGGGCAGACATGAAAATTTAGTCTTCCCTCTCGGTATTACCATATCTCCGTGTAAATATAAGATGAAGAAGGCTTCACAGACGAAACATGTTTTCTCTCTTCTCTGGAATAAACCTAATACTTGTTCCTTATTAAAATGATATATTTCTAATTCAAAAAGACAAAAGGACGTCCATCCTCACATAGGTACACTATATTATTCAAGGCATATTCTTACTCTAAACCCCTTGATATTAGTTCTTACACTGGTTATTACTATTTGTCTTCATTGATATCTATAAAGCAGGTTAGAAAAACAGCATTACTTTCCAAACTCCCAGTTCCCATCCTTCCTTGCCTGTAGCTCAGCGGGTTTGCTGGAAGTGAAGGAAGTGAACTCTGCTGGACACTTCGTCAGGCTGCGTAACACCTCGCCGGACAGGAACACAGACCTGGGAGGCTACATGCTTCAGCAACGAGTCGGAGGGGCTCCTGTCTCGCTGTATCGCATCCCACCTCACACGTGGGTCCCTTCTGGCCAGTGCATCACAGTAAGTGGGCGCTGAGTGAGGGCAGGTGGGAAGCTCACTGGAGGTGGTATTCAAGTTGGAGTTTGGGACCCCCTAGTGGTACTCAGTGGTAGTCCAAGAAAACCTTCCAATGAGGCTTCGCCTGAAAAAACACGAATACAGTGTCAGCAATCCGCTAATCCGCTAACAGACGCTGTTGATTACAGCCATCGTTGAGTCCCAACATACTGAAACAGTGACAAATGACAATATTCCATGAAACAAAACTCTTTCACTACAGGTGCGAAAAGTCAGAAACTGTCTTACACAATAAATTAAGAAGGATTTTCAGAAGGTTAGGCTGAGAATCCCCAAAATTAAAATTAGCATGGACACTGGGGTTCACACGCCTTCTCTTCTGAAAAGCGCCGAAGGATCTTTAATAAACTAATAGTCAGGACCTCGGTCAGCACCTCCTACAGTGTACTCTGTCACCATACTGGGGCATAACTTTGAAATCTCTGGTCCAGGGGGAAGAGAACCACCTGCTGGTCCATCAGCACAACTTACAGCTGCAACCTGGTTTTCCTTAGAGTCTCTGTGCTGATCAGGCCCAGACGCGACTAAGATACAGAATCTTAGAATCAGGTGACAAGGTGGTTATGCAGGTTCTCTTCACGCATTTTGAGCTAAAACTCAGGAGGGCCTCTGAGGTGAATGATGATGTTTGATGTCAGAATCAATCTGATCCCATGTTCTGTTAGCTGTGCTGAAACTCTTTATTTCATTTTTCACAGATTTGGGCAGGAGGAGCTAAGGTCTCCCATAATCCCCCCTCAGACCTTGTGTGGCATGAGCTCCTGAGATTTCGGACAGGATCCGAGTGTGCCACAGTGCTGTGCAAGCCCAGCGGACAGGTGAGCACATACTCACAGTGCACAGGTGAGCACACATTCACAGAGGACAGGTGTAAAAGCACAGCACACTGCTGAAGTACAACCTCTGAGGTACAGAACAACTGGTACAAGGGATAGGCAAATATGTGAAAAACAATTCAAGTACAGCAACACAACTGGAAAACTCGAAACATACTATGTGTAACGATACACTGGAGAGGAGATAGGGATCCTATGCAGATGCAGGAGTAGGTGGGAGTCACGGCAACTAACAATCCAGAACAAGGAGCCAGATCGTAATCAGAGGGAGGAAGGTAAGTTGAAATCCGATAAAGACACTGGTGGCTAACAATCCGAGGAGCAAGGAGCAAGGAGCAAGGAGCAAGGAGCAAGGAGCAAAGGCTAATCGATAATCCTGGACAACAAAAGGTATGGTAAACGCTGGGTAGAGCTCACGAGGTGTATACTCAATACCGAGCAACGGGAAGCAGGTTAGAATGGTATAAATAACATGGCGTGTCGCACGGTAGATCGATTGCAGGTGTGTTAACGCGTACAGCAGCGCTTGTTAATAATAACCCGCTGCTGGGACTGATTAGCTTGCTTACGGGTTGATCTCTGCTGGCTGGCGGTCGTGACACTATGAAGATGTACAAAGGGAGGACCGATGTGACAAAGGGTGAACATCTTTCCTTCTTCAGGAACAGCCATTCCATATCAAAGACACAGAGCCTGTATCACTGAACCAGGGAGACTCTCATGCATCACATTAATGCATCATTAACAAGTCCTGATGGCTGATATTAAGCCGTTTGTACTGTCCTTGCCTTCTGTGTGCCATCCTTAACTGTCCTACAAAATCCTAATAAAGTTCCATTGGCCTTCATATTGACAACTATTAACACCATATTGGTTTGGCTTTTATTGGCAATCAGAGATTGTTTTGATTTTTTGCATCAGTGATAACTGAGTATTTGGCTTTGTTTAGATTCAAATTGTAAAGATAACTTCTGTGAGTTTGTCCGGAAATGAAAATGCAGGCAATTTTACTTTAAGACTGTATGTTTATTTGTTTTTATGGGTGAGATCTCTTGACACAAAAAATACATTTGTACAGTAAAAACCTGTACAATACACGTTTTGTGGAAGATATAATAGGATCTTTAAAAAATATGTTTGAAAAACATCTTGTGCCCTCTTGTGGTCAATATGCATCATTGCATTAGAGACAAACCACTAGCCTAAGCCAAAAACAGTACTGTATCAATTTTGTGTGAAGTAAATGACATAAAACCAGGGATTCATTCATCAAGGATTGCTGAATGTGTTTTACTGAGACATCTGAACCAGCAGTGAAATTTAATTGCATTTCAGTGCCTTTTTACAATGTAGTGACTTTGTCCTTTCTTCCATATCGCAATCCACATCTTGTGTACTTAAAAAGTAAGTAAAAATGACACCTTAATATTTATGTTCAGACTTTTAACAATTCATACTTAAATCCATACTGCACAGCATATAATTGGTTTATTTCTAAGATGTACTTTATTGTCAGGTTTCTATATCCTAATGTCCTTTAATTCCTATCGTATCAAATCAGAAAGCAAGGTAGTGTGGACGTTAGCACTGTAGCCTCAGAGGGGGGAGCCTTCAGTTGTTGGAGTTCTATGGAGTTTCCTGTTGCTCCAGTTTCTTCCTACCTTCCAAAGGCATGCTGGTTATGTTACATGCTGTTTCTAAATTGTTATTGCAAATTACTCCTTTATGCAAAGACTGGTGGGAGTCTGCAACAGGCTTTCCAGTCAGCTGGTTGAGGCCCAAACTCTGAGCACAATCAGGAAACAGCGGGATGAAATTTTAGGCTCCCTTAACTCCTAAACTACCACATGGGCCCAGCAGCTCCTTCTCAATTGCAGACCTTACTTATGTCAGGTACACTGGAGGAACCGGTGTGCTCAGTGTTCCAGTGATAGGCCTAGTTGCCTTGACCTTTATCATGAATAAGGAGCCTTCTGACAAACAATGCATGAATGAAACTGTTTTTCTAAATCTCCGTATTATCACTGCATGATCTGTGCTGCAGTATATGAAGTGAGAGTGTCATTTGCTGGCAGCCTGCTTTTTTATTTCCTTTTGAATTTTGTTTTCTCTTCTCTCAAGCCTGTGGCGAGGCTCATGCCCCCCCAGCAAGTCTCTGTGTCAATGCCTTTTAACAGCGAGACAGTGAGTGCCAGGTCCTGCCACAGAGCCAGCACAGCTCAGGGCTGGAGGCCACTGTTAGCCTCACATTCAGTCTCTGCGCACCGGCTTCCAGAAGATCAACAGCACAAACGCAGCACTTCGGCTCCACCACCCAAGAGGTAAGACCACTTTTTTCTTGATTGAACAGAAGGGAGTCGGTGCAGGATAGATCACTCTTATCCTTCTATCCGGTGCCCCCTTCCCAAATTTCCCCCTGATGTTTACTAAGCATGGCCTCCTAATAATCCCCATCTCTGAACTGCTCTCCTCCCCACTGAGAGCTGGTGTGTGGGGAGCATACTGGCGCACTCTGGCTGCCATTGCATCATCCAGGTGGAGCTGCACACTGGTGGTGGTGGAGGGATCCCCATTACCTGTGAAGAGCTTTGAGTGGAGTGTCCAGAAAATAGTTATATAATTGTAAGGAATTTATTATATCTCTGCTGGTGTTGCTGCCTGTTCTCTAAAGTCCAGAACACTTTCAGAGCCAACCCATTTTTCATACCAACCCAATGAAAAATTGTGGTTTTCATGATTCAAGGTAGGCAGTTATTAGGTTTCATCCAATGGTCAGAGGTAGTAGATGACTGGATTGTTAAAACAGCAACTTGAACAAGAGACTTTAACAATTGCACAAACACCGGAAGAAATAACTATAAAACACTCCCCACATCAAACATTTTCTAACCACTTTTTCCAATTCATGGTCACAGGGGAGCCTCAATTTATGGCAAGCAATGGGCACAAGGCCGGGTACACCCTGGATGGGACGCCAGTTCATCACATTGTAGACACAGACAAACACCCACAAAAGCCAATTAACCAGCCAGTATGTCTTTGCACTGTAGGAGGAAACCAGAGTATCCAGGGGGAACCCACACAAACATGGGGAGAACATATAAGCTCCACACAGACAGCCCCCCCAAGTCAAGAACTGACCCTAGTGCTAACCACTGCACCACAGTTGTCACACTTGACCCACTCAGCAATCGGGAGAATGGACCCTGTGCGGTACCTTAGGAGGTCAGGAGACAAGCAGGTAGCTTCCAGAGTAAGCAAGGGCTAGGCGAGAGACATGGTCAAAGGCATGGTTCATTCATATCATGAAGAGCAAAGAGGTTTAAAAAATGAAGGCATAGTATGAGCTCCAAAGGGCAACCAATACCAGGCAAAGAGCAGAGGATTTTGGAGGGTTTAAATATTGTGAAAGGAGGAAGGTGCGCTGATTGATGGAGTGTCGTGGTTGGCTGATTGGCAGGAGCGATGTCGTTTGGAAGAAGTGCTCGGAGCTGGAGTGTAATTAGCACGAGTGCACTTCTGTGTGGAATCTGGTTGGATGAGGGCGTGACAACAGTGCCGCCTGCTACCCATGTACCAAATAGAATAATAAGTTCTATTTCGTTATAATTTTTAAATATGATGCAGTTTCATGACACTATAATACTATTACTTCACCAGGATTCTATGCTTTCTTCAAACATTTATTCATTGGACTTGATGGACAAACCTTAAAACCCTCTTCATGCTGAATTGGATCTGGAATTAAAGAGGCCAGGAGACAAGCTTATCGTTTGCTTATCTTTCTCTTATTTCAAGATTTAATGGCTAAGACTCATCTTCTGTAATACTCCAGCTATAATAGTTATTCATTAACTCATAAATGATATTCTTTGGATATCTGATCATTTTGATAAATCCCTAATTTTATTTCTGTTGCTTATCCATGCATGGTTGACTTGCTTGCTTATTTGACTAATATGAAGAACAACAGCACCTTTCATATCCTGATATGTTTGTTTTAGTGTCACTTCACAGTATAAACATGATTAATTCTTTCTAATTATGTACACTATGGTGTTTGTAACTCTACTTGACAGATCGTTACAGAGCTGCTAATGCGCTCGTTATGTTAATATATTGTCACTCCAGGCTAAAGCCGCACTCCACTCCTTTGCCCACTGGGACTGCTGTAATGTGTGACAGCTGGCTGAAAAGCAGACATCTGCAAACCTCTTCCTCCCCCTGTATCTCTGCAAAAAAGCATCGCATTGCTTCGTTGCACTTCAGGGAACACTGTTCCTACCTGGTTTCTCAAAAGCACTCCCAACAGCTTACCTTCTCGGTTTGGGAAAACTTCATTCCAAGTTCCATGTGTCCTCAAAATGAAAGGCCAAAACAAAGTGTTTCTAAAAGGAGTATAGCTTAGTTTTTTTTATTTTACTTAATTTTTATTGTTTTTCATCTTATGTGTTTTTTATTTGTGTTTTTCATCTTTTCACCTGTGCTGCAAATTCTTGTAATTGCCAAGGACTATACAATTGCAACATTAGGAGTGAAATCAGATGCTATTCATGCAACAGAGCCAGTTTACTTCCTACAAATTCTATTAGCGGCTGCAAAAAAGGCGACTAATCTGAACTGCCTTAAAAAGAACTCTCCAACCTTTGGGCAATGGTTGGTGGCAATGAAAGAAATGCATGTGATAGAAAGGATTACCTTTTTGTTGATACTGCTGATGAGGAATTTCTCAGAAGGATGGAAGCCATTTGTAGACAAGGTAGAGGGACCAAAGGATGAATCAGTACAATTGAGTTCTGATGAAAGATTGTAAAAGTTAACCAACAGTATGAAACTGTTCTTCCAGTTATACAGAAGTATAAAAGTAATTGCATGAAACTAAGACTCCTCTAGGTCAAATTGATGCTATTAAGCTTGCTTGTATGTCTTGTAATTATGTTTTTTATTTGTTCTTTTCATTGTTTCATTGTTTTCATTGTTTGTTTCATCTGATTAACTTGATAACCACTTGTTGAGCACTTTTTCATTTTTAAACTAAGGTTTTCTGAGCTGAAAAGAATCAGGAGTGTAGGAGATTCTATTCCATTTGTCTCCAAAGTATATTAATTGGCAGAAATTTTGTTCAAATGGAAATCTGTTTATATCCACAGATTACAACATGCTGTAACTGTGTTACAATTCCAGCAAGTTGCTGTCCGGTGACAAGTCAGTTCTACTGCAGGAACAAAAGAGTGTGACTGGGTGACACTGGAGATGAGGTGGAGAACTAATGACATAGAAACAAATACAACAGGATTATTGAAGAATATAAATGGAACATAAACTTTTAAATTAATTTACACATACGAAAACACAAATCCATACTAAAATGTACATCAGACTTCACAGAATGGTTACAAAACCAGACTAGCTTGAGTGACAGTCCACACAATGGAACCGTACAGGCCCATGGTCAACTTGCGTCTCCTGGACAGGCCACCTTCCAGCCCAACCAGCCACTTCCTGTCACAGACACCAGCTGTGTTTCTTCTTAGGAGACAGAAGAGAAACTTACGCCCAGTCACCCCTTTGCCTCCAAGCGCACAACCCAGTACCAGTTACTGTGGGAAGGATGTGGACGACCTACAGAACTGGCACCCTGGTGTCACCGCGCTGCTGTCACGAGCTCTGTCAGGTGGGCACTTCACTCTTACAGTGGACGCCAAGTGGTCATGGCCATCTGGCCTCCTCTTAGAGAACAACAAGCCTTTCATTGTTACCAGGTCAAGAGTGAGCCTATGGGACTCATTTCCCATACCAAGTCATAACTTTCTGGTTACAATTCCAAACTGTTTTACAAAAAGTGAAACAAATATGACTGGAAATAGACAGATAAATGTATATATGTATGTATGTTTCTTTCTATGTTCTTAGAACAGTTTTTGTTTTGTTAATTTTGCAACAGTGTACATACAGTACTGGTACATACAGTTTTAGGAGAGAAAATGGCCAAGTCATCTTAGAAAATGCAGAGATTTATATACATATGTGTGTGTGTGCTTCTTGATTTAGGTAAAGGTGGTTCAAGCCAGATTTCAGAAACAAGCTCTTGGAGAAGTTCAGCACCATCCAGTCTAATATTAGAAAAGCCTGTACGGGTGAGTAATGTGCAGAGACAGAGATTAAGCTTTCTTTGCTTTTAAATAGCAAAGAGCTGGGGTCCAATCTTAACTGGGACACTGCTGTGGACAAAGTGGACAAATAAGTACAAATGTAAGCTGCAGAGTCAAAAAATGAAATGCAGGTATACTGAAGCTTTGTTTCCTTCTTCACTAAAGACTATGTTGAAGCAGTGAAATGCTCACAAAACAGAAAGAACAAAATCCTAATGAAATAAAGAAATAATATGCATGTTAAAAATCAGTGCATCTTTCAATGAAACTTTGGCAATGTCACTGAAGTGCTGAATATCATTAACTAACAATAATCTCTGCTGATTAGCACGCTGATGCAACGTTCTGCTCCAGTTAGAAAGCTTTATCAACAGTGTAATTAACTAAAGCTGAAACTGAGAATTCATGTCACTCTTGGTTCTGTGATGAAAGTGTTCTGAAAATTGAGTTAATAATTCCATTTCCTTTCCCTGCCTCAACTCCTTGTCTGTCCTCTCATCTGTGTTGCAGCCCAGACTGAACAGGAAGTCTCCTTTAGTTGCGCTAATTGCCCAGAGAACTGCTCGTTCCAAGTATGGTTTCAAGTTCCTGAGCTCTCCTCCAATCACTTCAGACATCCACGTTATCAGGAGATAAGACGGCAGCCACACTCCCCTCAGCTTCACAAGTGTTCACTACTTTTTCCATCTCCTAAGGGATGATCACACTCCTGTCCATATGGAAAAGTTCCTATGTGTTGATATTATTGATGTTGTTGATGCTATGGCACAGGCAACTCCTGTGCTCAGCTGGGATCCAGAACCAAAAAATCAATATAAGGCATCAATCTGGCTATAGTTGTGATTTATTTTAGATTATGTTTTTTGTTCACTGTCAACAGATTACACTTTTTTTAATAATAAGTGTTAAAAAGTCTTTTTTTCACATGCTATAGAGCAGGGATCGTCAACACTGGTACTGGACAGTGCCAATCCAGTTTCTTACTGAATTTATAGTTGAGATAAGATTTTTTGGAAAGATTGTGATTTTATATTTTATTCTACATATGACAAGTAATAGTTAAAAGGCAACCTCCAACTTTACTTTAGATCTAATCAGTTCAGTTAAGAACAGTCTAGTCTTTGAGGGTTGAAACATATGCAGTTTCAGATACTGTACCAAATAATCGCTAATGTAATAATTGCCTGCTTAAATGTGTGCAATCAATTTTTTCTCAATCTTTAAAAATTGGTGATTTAATGGTGGCTTGGAATACTACATGCTGTAGCTGGAATAGGACTCTCCATGCTATATAGGACAACAAAGTCAGAGAGCCCTGTATGTTCTCTTGTATATTGTATTGTATATATTGTACTATGTAAGTAGCAGACTGATAAAAGTTACTAAAATACACCTAAAATCTTTCTGAAGCCTATTTTAATCCTACAGAACAAAAAAAAATGAATAAATGGACTGAAAATATATTTTTTATTTATTTGCATTTTTTAAAAATCATTTTCTTCAGCCACATTTTCTAAGCAAAAAATGCATAAAAATATTTGTATTTGACATTGAATACAAATCTTCCTTTAAAATACAAACACAATTATAATAGGTCTTCTGAAGTTAGCTCATTCATAAATAAGCTAACACACAAATATAATCTCTCCACAGAAGTCTTGCCACAGCTCCCTAGCACATATTTCTTAATCAGAGACTTTTCAGCTATTTATAATTATTTTCATGTGAAATTTTCACATCCCACAGACACATGTCAACAGAATGCAATGTCTGTTTTCCTTCTGGTCTCACAAATAAGGACACACATTGTGAATCAATCATAGGTAATCATAGTAATCTCATAGAAAGGGGACCACCTTGTCTCCAGATAGCCAAAATCCAAAAGATGTTGACAGAGATATCTTATCCTCATCATTAATCTCTTGAAAATCCTCATGTGTCAATCAACAGATCATCTTGAATTAATTCACCAAGGTGGTGTGTTGAATGACACAAGAAGAAGAACACAGCAGCACAGGTTTAATTTGTGTTCATAGGTCTGTGTGTTAGCACTTCTAGTTCCATCTCAATATTACCGATGTAAGTTTAGTTTCTCTTATTCTTTGAATAAATAACATTGTTTATAAGGTGTTAAACAGGATGCGCACATATTCTTGGGTAAACAAGCCCTCACTTGCACATTTGTATTTTTTTCTGTTATCTTCATTAAGACACAATTTGTTTTTAAGAAACTTTCAGCCCTCAGTTTCTTCACATCCTTCAAAGACACAAATTACATAAGATTTCCAACCAGGGAACTTCTTATAAACCACCACATTTCAAAAGAACTTAGCATTTAAGATATAGGATTTTGAACAAATTTAAAAAGGAAAAGTGGTTAAAATATTAATTAATTTTAAACAGAACTGTGGGAAACAAATGCTCAACTATTTTACCGACATCAAAATATTGCTTTCAGTGATATAAATATAGAAATATTTAAAAATGTTGTTAAATAGGTAACAACATTTCCTCATTTTATTTTTGTAATAGTGGTAGAATGTAATAGAATTATAATGTAATGTTAAACACATTTTTGAATACTTTTTAGGGACATTCATCAAAATGTTGCAGATGAAGAACATTTATTTCAAAGGGGTTTGCATAGAAATGTAAAATCTGTTGTCTTGTCAGGTCCCTAAATTAATCTTCCAGATGAGTCACCCGGTGAAAAGAGACGCACAGGACAGTAGAAAAAGAGGACATAGAAAATGAAATGGATTAAGGAAAGAGATGAAAGTGTTACTTCACACACACAGCTTAGCATCCACCCTCCATGATGCTGGCTTGCTCCACTCCAGTCCTGACTTGCACTGAGCTCCTTGCGCTCGAGATGCACCTGTGTCTCGCTGGAGAGACAGCCCCTGCCTGCGCCGTGACCCTGCAGAACAAGGGTCAGGCCTCAGCTGGAGCCGGCGCCGCCCCTGGCGGGGAGCACGGCCGGCCGGCTGGGCAGTCTCTGTAGGGTGGCCTTGGCAGTAAAGGGCCGGACGGCGTGCAGCGTCACAGGCTTCTCGGGAGTCTTCGCTGAGGAGCGGATAATGGGCTGGTGGCCGTCGATGCTTTTCTGGGAGTTTCTGGGAGTCGCTGAACTGAAATACAGCAGAATGCATGAGGAATGTAAGCAGGTGATGTAGAACAATGGCTCGCAGGGATATGTGAAATATTTTTACGATGCTAAATGAGATTATTTCTAGTATGTAGCAGTAACCTCATTTTACCTCTCAATCAACTCAAGACTTCCTGAAGCAGTCCCCAGGTATGGTGACTGGGCACTGTGATGTGGGAAATGTATTCCTTTGGATTAGATGTTAAACTGAGGTCTTGACTCATTGGTCATTAAAGAACTTTTGGTTCTGCTGATAAGCATAGGGATCTAAAATCCCACTTTGGCCTTGTACACTCTATCCTACATTCAAATCACCCTTAATACAAATGGTGAAGTTATTTCTCACCTCTTCACTTGATCTGCTGTGTAGGGGAGCTGCTATATGTCACCCAGTGTTTCTATTTCTTTTAAACAGTATGAGAGAAAAAGTGCTCTTACACTTCCTATGCATGTGTCCAACAAGTGATGATCCTCCTGTCACAATTAATAGTTAGGTTTGTGAAGAAAACTTACAAAATGACATTACACTTCACTGCAATTACCAAAGGGACAGTTACATTTCTATAGCAGTTAACCTTAATTGATCACTATGAAATATACATCCATCCTTTTTCTAACCACTTCTTCAAATTCAGGGTTGAGAGGGGAGCCAGCAAACAAAAGGCACAAGGCACGGTACACCCTGGACAGGACGCCAGTCCATTGCAGGGCACACACAGACACTCACTCCAGAGGCAATTCTCCCAGAACACCCAATTTTCCGATCTTACCAGTATGTTTTTGGACTGTGGGAGAAATCCCAATAAACACAGGGAGAACATATAAACTGCATGCAGAAAGCACTCCGTGAACCGACGGTCCCAGCACTGCAAGGCTAACCATTGTACCACCATGCCACTTTCCACATGAACTAAATTTCTATGTTTTTTATAATGCAATTGTCTCTTTGTGAGAGCTGGGGATACGTTTTCTTTGCACTGCTAGCTTATCCTAAAAACAAATATCAGCACTGCCAAAAAATCAAGCAGATTGTCTCCTGGAAGTCGCACCTCTGATTCCTGGACCCTCCAGCTGCTGGACCAGACACAGGCCTCAGGACATCCAGGCTGCAGTCTGGTGCTGCTGCTGCTTTCAGTTCTGGACGGATCTTGGGCTTCACCACCTCCGAGTCTGATCTGCCTCTCTCCGGGCCCAGCAGGGGAAACTCCTCATCAGGCTGAAAAGCTCTGGTGGCACTGCAGCTCAGAGAGCTCTCCTGCTCCTGACTTGGCACAGGAGTGCGGAGCCGCCGTGCCCTCATGTCTGAGAGCCTCCAGGCAGCAGGGGGCACTGTGCGCGGAGGTGGGGGAGATGGACCCATCAGGGGATCGGGCGATACAGAGTGGCTCCAGTCCTCATGGGAGATGACCTCTCCGCCTTGCAAAAAATGTGAAAAGCAAACCCAAGTAATTACTTGTGCTGCCAGGTGTTCCCTCAAATGTGTTTCAATTTTGACTAATTTCTGATTTCTGTCATGAACGTCCAGAAGATATTCCTGTGCATAGTAGAGTGTAGATCACCTTCCATTTAATTTAGATCAAGGGTGCACAACTCCGGTTCTGGAGAGTCAGAAGGTTTCTGGTTTTCCTTTCACCAGAGCCCTTTACTACCTCACTGAACTCATCTGCTTTTTGGACAAGTTGCAACCTTCAATTATTCTTAAGAAGATGGAAATTTATAACAATCTGCTGTTCAGGGTCTCTGGATGACTGCAAGTGGGCTCCCCGATTTAGATCAAATGATAGTAAAAACAATGAATATACAGTCTTGTATACACAAGGTGTGGTAGTAAACGTTTAAGTGTCAATTTGGTCTTGCTGGATCTGACTCCCAGTTCCCAAATCTAATTCGACAGATGCTAACTGAAAGAACTGACATAACAATCAGTGCCTAAGCTGTATATTCCATAGTGTCCATACTTGACAGCATGCTCCCTTCAGTGTTTGCAGATCACCTGGCGGTGGGGAGGGGGCTCCTGGAGATTGGAAGGAGGAGTCTGGTGAGGCGCTGTTAGTGCCATTGCAGGACCAGGCTCCTCTGATCTCTTCTTCCTCACTGCTGTCACCGAGACTGTGGCCCTCCTCTTCCTCATAACTGCTGTGCGAGATCTTGAGAACCTGTGGCTCCCGCTCCTTCTGAATGGCCTCCAGGCGCCTGCAAGACAGTGCAGACCCTCCACTTCACTCAGCTGAGACAGATGGTATCAAAGGCCACATTGCATGCACATTTAGACACATACTGTACCATGGTTTCTATGACATTCTCGAACTGTGATCCCAATACATCAGTCTCCAGAGGTGTACATTCTTTGATACTGATAGATATACTCATCTTTCTTAAAGAACACATTATTCAACATAATTTGATATCTGGCTCTTTGAAATGTGTTTTGTAGTTAAATTACAAAAATACAAAATTAAGGAAATACTTGTTATACTTGTTATGTTCCTTCCTCCATGCCCTCAGCTCTGCAAACACATCCTCTCGATCCCGGGTTTCCGAAGCTTCAGTGTCGTAGGTGTGCTCAGGAATATGTTTGTGCTGAGCAAAGGGGCTCAACTGAGGGCTGGGTGCCAGCTGCCAACAGAAAGTAGGTGTGAAAATGTATCCGCACCTTAAAAATACAGCATTTGTCCAGAACATGACATTGCAGACCATAAAATTACAAATGAATGGTCTTGGGCATCACAGCCACATCAGAGCTCTGTTCAAAGTCAGAACTTAAATCAAGCAACATCAACATCAACAATTCACACTATTTTTCTGAAATCTAATCCAGGATGTGTTTTACAGACATGATTATTGGTTCTTCATGGCCTCTTTTTTCTGTTCCTGACTTACGTTCAGTTTCTGTTTCCGAGCACAAAGAGCTCTAACAGGGTTACCGCAGATTACCCTCCCAACACCTGCAGGAGAAAGTCAGACGTCAGCTTGGACCATGGGAACCCAGAAACTGGAAAAACGAAGAGCCATAAGAAACAGGACCCAGAGAAGCTTGCTCAGGCTGGGATTGTGCGCAGAATTCTGCAGGAAGAATGGACTACATGAAAAGCATGCAATCATCCAGAGTGATTTCCTTCTGTTATGCAAAACCCTAAGCAAGGTTGCTTGGGTAACAGCTGCAAAGGTCAGCATAAAGTATGTGATAAAGCAAACCACTGGCTCTAAATCTGAAATATATAAAAGCTACACAAGATATTTAGCATGTTTGGATCAAAGATGTGGACACAACTTCATTTAACTGTTTACATTTTTATATTTGGCAAAAATAATATAGAATTTTGCCAGAAGAAGAAAAAATAACTGTTTTTACATAGCTATTCACCATAATATCCCTATGTGTCACAACAATAACCAGGAACAAGTAGCCTAGGTCTTTAGATAAAAATGATTAAAACCTCCACCCAGGATCCATTAAACATGCCCCTGAATATCATTTTTGCATTATTAAGAAAACAGAACATTCCAGATATAGCATGAGAAATAGATATTACATTTAATGGTTTTTTAACTTTAAAATTATTTTGGAAGAGTTTTTGGAACTTGCGCCCTCTGATTTTCATTTCACTGTTCATAATGTTGCTGATGTTCATGCTCAGCTGAGCTGAAACCCTACATGATCTCCAGCCAGGTGTCGTGAGCTTTAGGAAAGGAGTGGGGAGCGTATGTGTGACTCTGATAAAAGACGTGGCCACCGTGTGTCAGGTCACTGGCGTCCTGCTCCAGAGAGGCAGGGTCCGAGTTAGAGGAGCCAGGCCGGGAGCCAGGGGAAGAAAGGGGCCTGGCACTGCCAGGACGACCCGCACTGACAGGCCAGGGTGCTGCCCAGGGACGGAGGGCTGAGCTGGGACGGCCGGTCAGTGGGCGCAGAGCAGAGGCAGCCCCGCCAGAGACTGCGCTTACAGCTTCTTCTGTGGAGTGAAGATAGAGACAGCTTTGAAAAACAGATCTCTTTTCTATTGTGCTTTTAACACGTGTATGCTCAGCGTTAAAACCTCATTTTTTAAGTAGTATCTATATACACATCACCAAAAAACAAATTAAAGGTCTTTTTAGCACACATTCTCAGAAGGATCATTGAGCCCTAAATCTCTTATAGCCCAATATTGTACCACTGACAAGTGGTGACTATATTTTCTGCTCTCGGAAAAAAAAGCCTCATATTCTGGGACAGCTCTGCAGTAACTCTCCCCCCCCCCCCAATTTAATGGGGAGAGACTCTCTGTTTCTGAATTATCATCACCTACCCTCAATGTCCAGATCTTGAGCTACAGTACTGTCTTTGATGGAGTCCTTCACTATAACCCAGTCTTCGCTGGGGGTGCTGGGAGGCAGAAGGCCCTTATCATCAGCAGGGATGTCGTCCAGGTACTTCAGCTGGGGAACCAACTCCTTCACTGCTCCTCTGTAGCAGTACTGCTCCAACTGCATATGGAACAAGGAAGTGTTGTTAGACACGATACCAATTCTCATCTGTTTCAAACTCACGGGTTCGTCTTTTCACATAATCCCTTTTTTTTTTCTTAGACTATATTTTACAATCAGGCCTCAAAACTGCTAAAGGCTGTCTATTTGTAAATTTCAAGTTTTAAACATTGTATTGTTTTACAGCACAGTGCAACAATAAAAAGAGGCCAAAGGGGGTGGAAAATGGATGTGAATTAAATGAAAATGACCCTTTGAAGAGTTTTTTTTTTCATATAAACGCAATGACTGCTATAATATAAAGCAACTGAAATATTACACTTTCCTTTGACAGTACAAATCTTATCTCTTTTGAGGAAGATAGTTTGTAGCACCACACTGGACATCACACAATTCTGGCACTTTAGCCCAGCAAATGAAGACTGAACTGTCCCGGGTGGGGCACCACTGTAATAGTCAACTCACATTGCTACAGCAGGATACCAAGGAGAATACAAATATAAATTGTGCATGATTAAATCAGACCAATAAAATAATAACTTTAAAATGAAAAATAAATTTGAGAACCTGATTTGCTCCTATGAATTGTACCCCTTTTAATTTTTATACAATGCTGACAAATAACATACAGTATGTTCAACTATACTGCAGACTTAACTGAAATGTATTTTTTCTTGATGCTTAAATGCTTTTCTTGAAACATTCCAATGGCCTGAGATATTATTCTTCAGCCACATCATTGTAAGTGCAGAGTGGTGTTTCTTAAACAGTGTACTCAGGAGACATGAGTGTATCTTCTGCAAGGGCACCACATCACTGGTATCTCAGCAAATGTTCTCCTTAGAGAGACTATGACTCTATAACTGGAAGAGTCCAGTAAGCCTCATATTCTTTCATAAAACTAAAATTATTCAATCAGGTAAACAGAAAACCTGAGAGGCATGTCTATGTTTTACTGATCTAAGCACTATTTTTAAGTTTTGTTTTGCAGTAGTACAGAACCATAGTCAATCAGAATATCAGAATAATGCATAATGGCTTTGGAGTACTATACACCTGATACATCACTGGTTCAATTGCTAGCATTGCCAAGTGACTGACACATTACATTTTCAGAGGTGACCTGTAGATGACTGTGTCCCACATCTCGTCAGAGCCCTACAGTTTTGATCTTACAAATATCAATGCCCTTAAAAGTCTAAAAGATTTATTTAATTTAAAGATTTTAAATTGTTTTCTGTGTTTTACAACATGGATGTCTAGTAATTTTACAAGTTTGTATAATGTGAATCTGTTTTTGTTGAGGGAATGAAAATAAGCCCAAAATATTTAATTAAACAAATTCATGGTTTAATTATAGGTCAATGGAGAAACAGGTTAGCTGGAATAAAAGCCCAGAGAGAAAGGTCCAGAACTGAGAAGCTCTGCTTTTTTTCTTTTTAGAAATTAAACTCTTCATATGGCTCAGCACCTCTGCAAACTCATCCTTAACATGACTCAGCAGCTCTGCAAACTCATCATTATAATGACTCAGCAACTCGGTAACTTTATCATTCACATGACTCAACACATCAGCAAACTCATGCGTAAGATGGAAAAGAAGGTCAGAAAATTGGAAAAAGAAGAACAGCGCCTTGCTTCAGACCTGTGTCACCTAATGACACCAGTCCGGGACTGAATTAATGACACACTGCCTGTGTGGCTTAGAGAAACGAGCCCGGTCTCATTCTGTTGTACTCCCTGTACAGTGAAGCACTAATGCAGCGCTTATGCATATTCAAATGGTTTCTTCTTGAACAGCAAATGCTGCCAACTCCACTTAGTGGCAAAGGGAGGTTAATCTACAGTACATATCTATCCAGTAAGTGGCGTTCTGAGAGAAAGGGCCATTTAACCTGTTTTCAGATTTACTGAACTTCTGTATCACTGGCAGGAACGGATTATTTTTATTCGCCCATTTCTTTACAAAATTAGTAAAATTAACACACCGATTTGTTAAAACAAAGATGCATAGTCATGGAGGAAAACTAATTACAGAAAAATTATAATTCTGTCTCCTGCTCTTTGTTTGTCAAAATTTGTCAAATTCTGATCATGCATCAACACATAGTATAAGAGGGATAACTTCTAATAACATTTATAGGATGCATAAAAATAATTGTAATCATCTGATGTTTTATTATTATATTGATAATGATAGTTATTTTCATGTGCTGTAAATCATCATAGTTATACTCAGAACTGAGGCGTCATCAAAGTGTATATCAAAACAGTTATGTCATTTCATGGCTCTGCCAAACACATCTTATTGCTCCATTGTGGGTTGTTTTCCTAGATGTGGAGAAAATTGCCAAGAAGGAATAGTTGATTCTTCACACTTCCATGGTTGATCAAAGAGTGCTTTCATGTTCTAAATTAAGAAATTGCATTTTCATGACCAGCTCTGCGATTATCTCTCAGGCCCACAAGGGGTATCTGGGAAAATTCATGCTGCCGAAGTAATCACAGTGCACTAAAGCATGGGTGAGCTAAGCCTGTAATCTTATCAAGCAGACCCCCTTTTCTGCAGGGGAAGAGAATTAAAAAGCAAATTAAGAGGTTCCTTATATATCAAGCACACAGTTCAAATTTGGTCTTTGGAAAAAACATAAGAAAAGTGACAAAGGATTTAATTTGGTGTTTTTTTTTTATTGGATTAAATGCATTTGGTCACCTAATGCTTAAACACAGCTTAATTATAAATTCTGATTTAATAAACCACAACATCCGAATATAGATTTTTTGTCCTTTTCCTATTTTCCTGCTCATTGAGCTAAAGCTCAAAATGGCGGAAAGAAGCACCCCTGAGTCAGACTACAATTCACCAATGGCAGAGTGTCTGTATTGCCCATGCCATTACTAACAGAGATCGCAGACCATTTATCATATCAATAAGGGGTATCTCTAAGAATAATATTAATTGCATAAACTCATTACACCAGTTTCACATCTCTTTTTTTTTACTTATTATGCTGGATGTTGCTTCAGATATTCTAATTTTTTATTGAACTTTGTTGTAGATGCAGAAAGATGTTTAGCTGGCTTTTTGTATCTATATTCAGCACAGTTGTAATTCTAATGATGAATAGGTGTGAAACTACTTCTGAGTCAACACAGAATTTTGGACATTTGTTGAGTCAGAAAGTGGGCAATGTAATATCTGCCCACCCCAAACACAAGCATAAAATTCTCATTAATTATCTTTTCTATATCCATAATTTACACTCTCGTCTAGCTATGCCTGTGTTAAGGCAGATCCATTCCAAGGACTTGAGCACGATGGCATGTGTGTGAATGACCCACACTGTAGAGAAGCTGTGAGCACAGCACACTGATTTAACAGGGCAGAAACCAAACTTGCAGCACAGTACAACAACATTGTAAAAATGATTTGAGGATCTGATTGATACTTCAAACGTTTTTCCCTAATGTGATTCATACATTTTCTACTCTTTTGGAATTTAAAAATTAAGACCAAAGGTGGGTGAACAAATCCAAAAAGGCTTAGAGCAGTTCTGCCTCCACTGTGATACGATGAGGCACAGGTACTGTAAGTCCTGATTTTTACACTCTTAATTGCATGTATTTGGGTTAACATGCCTGAAAATACAAAGGTACATATATCATTTCTTGCCTTCTTTCAAATTTGTTTGAAAGAATGAAATATGCAAGTACCCAGAGGTACTTGCATGTAGCTTTGACTAGTCTCCTGGATGTCATACAGACAGCTGCACAATCTGTCTCAAGCCAATAATCCATAAGAAGTCTTTGTCTTAGTCTGTATCTTATAATTGTTTATATACAATTATTGCTACTTTATGAACAACGAAATATATAAAACATTATAACAAAATACTGTGTGCAAAAAATCTTAAAACTAAAATTGCATCAAAATTATTGTAAAGAAAACATCTTTAACTGAAATTATATTTAAAAATATGGATATGTCAGATTTCATTACAAAATAACAAGGATTAGAAAGTTTGAACAATCAATGCAAAATAATGTGTGGAATGATTAGAAAAACGTAATGCATTTCAGTGCTCTACATTTGCAGGTATTCTGTTTTACTGCACATCTTACATTGAATAACTGTATCTAATTCCTTTTATTTAGGGGTTAAAATCCTTTTTTGGGAATAGACCCTGGAATCCATCCCCCATATTTACAATCATTCTTTTGGGGAATTAGAGTTTAATTTACACATTTTGTAATTCAAGAACTTGTATATACAGTAGCAGTAATTCAGCCTTCTATAGATCATCCTGACATTTACTAAGACAACAGAAAACACTGCCTCGGGGTCCGCCTGTGTGACATACATGTAAATTACATTAATGCAAGCCCCTGAGTTATGTGCAAGACACACTTTGTTTGAATAATGAAACCCAAGCCTGGCTTGATAAAGATACAAAAATGATGTGATAGTTTACATTAGCCACTGCAGACTGAGAATGCAAGATGATTTTAATTTCAATTACTGGAGATACCAAGTATTTCTTATTATATCACATTTCTTTTTATTCAACGATAAAATAAAGTACCTGGGACATTGCAAGGCCAACTGCTACTGTATATGACAGTGTTGATATACAGTATATTAAATGAATGAATAACTGCAGAGCACCTTAAATATATGGTGTTGAGAATGTGCAAGGTGCAAAGTGATACCATAAAAACAACATATCACTATACACTAAATGTAAAATAGCAGTGCTCTTTAGGCCTCAAGAAATTAACAATGGGCATGTTGGCTTTTTTTCTAAATCAGCACAAAATAACAAAAACATAGCATTTTTACAGATTTATGCTTTAGAAGCTACAAATATGTACAGTACATTAGTTACTGAAACAATAAAAAATCAAAATAGTGTTACTTTTAGGCTGCATTACTTTAAAAAAATCTGTTCATCTTAAAAAAACAAATTGAACCTGTCTCATCGGTGAACAGAGAGTAAGATATTAAAGGTTTCCTACTTTATTTTAGTATGCTTTTTCATTGCCTTTACAGTTGATAATTTGTTTCAATAGGTCCATTGTCTGAAACACCTTCAGTGCTGGCAGCTGTTGGTCTGTAGCCCGATGCATTCTGGTTGTATCATGACTGAGGTTGAAGCCAGTACAAATGACATTATTGTGTGATTTACAAAGCAACCCAAGCAAAGCCCTGCAACCACAAGTTGACAGTTAATCTACGCAATGCTCTTGAACATCCTTTCTCCTACACCCAGGTTCAAGAGTACCTGACAGCTGTTCGATTGGGTTCACATCAGTAAAGTCATTGAATCACTTAATAAAGTTCAGAAATAGATCCAGACACAGTTTCGTCCGTTCACCTTCAATAGTCGCTTTCTCAATAGAGTAGAGAAGCACAGGCAATGGAAGACAGACCGAGCAAATCAATTAGAATAACTGAAAGGTAATGGCGTCATTAGTCATATTGAAGTAAATATCCAGAAGCTGACCATTTGTTTTCACAGCTTTGGGATTATTTTTTAAATATTTTTCTCCACATATTTGCTCCCTTTAGATGACTTCAAACATCCTCTTTTACTCTTCCTATTCTGGATGAGGGTCTTGGTCATTTCAAACTGTTTTTGCAAATTACGTCTCAATGAAAAATAATGCTGCTTTGTTGATCTCGGTTTTTACACTTGCAATTTTAGTATTTTGTGCTGGAAAACAAATCTTTTACAATTATCTTTTACTAAATTACCCTGAGGATCAATGTCTTTTAGAGCCCAAATTTCCAAATTCTGATTTAGATACCAAAACCACTTTAAATAGTTCTGTATTGAAAAAGTTTAACAATGATTAAAATTAAGGTTAACTATAATTCTAGTCAACAACATAAAATAATTAAAACAACCAAATGTGGTTTGTTTTGGGATACTTGTTATTTAGTTCACAATTTGTGCTTCCGAGATGCATTTTATATCATGTTAGTGAGCACACTTTAAGTGAGCTACTGAAAGATGGTGCAGTGAAATGGAATCAGACTCTGCCTCAGTCTCCTCTTTTAACTGGGAAAACAAATCCGTCTCCACTTTCCCTATGAGCAGTGAAGATCATTAGGCTTTAAAAGCTGATGATCTCATGCAGTCTCGTGAACAAGGTCAGTTAAAAACAATTAGAGTGAACAGCACACTCTCTGGGCAAGAAACATATTTACCAAAAGAAATATATACCATGCTTAGGCTATGAAATGGTTTCTGACTGAATGTGTCCTTGCCATTGTGTTAAGTGGTATTATAAAGCAATGAGCAGCCTATTGTCAATAACAGCGTGATTACAAAGTACAAGTATGTTAGTGCTGTTCCTGCTGTTCAGTTTGGGTTTGCTATAAACTAGATAAGAGATTCAATTTAAGGTACTGATATCAACATCAATATTACTGATATGACTCTCAGGCAGAGTTTCTATGCGCAGCACCAATGCAAGTCGTACATAAATGGAAAGCTAACTATCTTTAACTTCAGTTGCAGGTTATATTAGATATTAGATATTATGAAACATTAACATACACAAACCCAAAGTCAGCTTAAATTAAAAAAGCAGTCAATTTTCTAGCCGCAGGGTAGCTGGAGCTAGAAGCCAGCAGCCATATCACCCTGCAACTCACAGCTGGTAACCCACTGAAGCTAAGCAGGTGTGAGCCTGGTCAGTACCTGGATGGGAGACGCTCACCCTGCGGTCCATATGGGTCCTAATGCCCCAGTATAGTGACGGGGACACTATAATGTAAACAGGCGCCGTCCTCCGGGTGAGACATAAAACCGAGGTCCTGACTCTCTGTGGTCATTAAAAATCCCAGGGCATTTCTCGAAAAGAGTAGGGGTGTAACCCCGGCATCCTGGCCATATTTCCCACTGGCCCTTACCAATCATGGCCTCCTAATAATCCCCATCTATGAATTGGCTACATTACTCTGCTCTCCTCCCCACTGAGAGCTGATGTGTGGTGAGAGTTCTGGTGCACTATGGCTGCCGTCGCATCATCCAGGTGGATGCTGCATATTGGTGGTGGTGGAGGGGAGTCTCCATTACCTGTAAAGTGCTTTGAGTGGAGTGTCCAGAAAAGCGCTATATAAGTGTAAGCAATTATTAATTATTATTATCCTGACAAGTAACAGGCTCAAGCCAGTCCATCACAGGGCACACATAGACACAAACACGTACTAACCCACACCCACACCAGGACCAATTTTCCCAGAAGTCAAATAACCTACCAGTGCATATTCTAAATATAGGAGGAAACCAGAGCACCCAGAGGAAACCCATGTGAATACACTGAGAACATACGAACTCCATGCTGATGGCACCACAGGCCTACTATTGAACCCAGGGCCGCAGCGGTCCGAGGCAGCAATGCTAACCACTGAGCCAACACGCCACCCTGAATGAAATATATATTTTTTATTTATTATTTTGATTTATGGTGCCTTTGTAAGGATGAAAAAGATCACCAAACACGTCACTCCAAATGTGAGTTACCAGGATCGTACGGCTTGTGTCCCTCTAAACCTGAGCTGTCATCAACACCACAAGGGTTACGAGAAGCTGGGTACCTTGCCAGAGTCTGGATGTGGTGTGGAGCAGACAGGGTTACCCTCCAAGGTCAGCGTGGTCAGTCTGCAGCAAAGTCCCAGGTATTGGACCTGTGTGATGTCGTCAATATTGTTCCCTTCCAGATCAAGAATCTCGAGGTTGTCCAGCATGCTCACCTGACTCAGGTCTGAAATGTCATTGTACGCCAAGTACAGTTCCTACGAAAATGAGACATAGTATATCACGTGAACAGCTGTGGCACTAGGAGTGGAACTGCGCTTTGCTGTGCAGACTATTCAATGGCGATTAGAAAAGGCACTCCTTCTGAAGTAGGTTTTATATGGAGATAAAGGATGTCATGGAAGTCTGGGGACCACGCACCACCCCTTTGATAGTGTACAATGATTTATTTTAATAGAATGCTGTACAATAGAAAAGAGGAAATTACAATGAAACTCCCTTGAAAAAAGGAAGACATTGTTTGGATAAAGAAACAAAAACATTTCTCTCTTGTAATCTCTTCCAAGGAAAAAAAAACAATGAACTACTCAATAAAATATTTTAAATATATACAGAATATCAACATTATGAAAGAATGTTAAGCTGTAGAAAAATGTTCAGAGCTACAAAGTTTGTTTTTTTATTTTATATGGGACAGTGTGTGATATTTACAAAAGCCAGTGAGGTAAAACATCGCCTTAAAAAACAAATTCAAAGTCAAGACAGGGCAAATATCTGGAAGATCATATTTAGAGCAAGTGCTGCATGTAGGTACCATATACAAACCACCTGTATATGAATATATCAATATAAAATAGAAATAAGAATCACTTGAAGAAGCTACTTCTGAAAAAGGCCTATGTGTTTATAATAAGGTAATTTACAAAAGCTCTGGACAATATGGTCAAGCACTAAAAAGGCAGACTGTTAAACAGAGTTAGAAGTGTAGAATTTAAATCCATTAATGTTATGCTGATAATTATATAACACACTAGCAGAATGTATTTATTTAGAACATTATGTATAATTTTGATCAGATTAAGTCCCATACTTAAAGGAATGTCCTTCTCTAACAGGCTTAAAGTACTGAATCTTTTTAGTCTTGAACAAAGACTACAAAGGGGAAATGAAAAATCCTCTAGGGCACTGACATAGTTAATTAAATGAATGTCTTCACAATCAGCAGTGTGACACAAACCTGTGAACAAAAATAGTAAGTGAGAGTGCAGTGAAAATTGAGAACATGAGGTATATTTTTACACAAAGAGTAGAGGGGTTTACCCAGCTGTATTATTGAAATTGATATTTTGACTTCTTTTAAGAATCAGATGGAAGAGATTGTCAGATCAATTATAACCAAATACTCTAGATAAGCCAAATGCCCTCCTCTCATTTGAAACATTTTTATGTTAATCCAAGGTGTTCTTTATTTCTGTAAAAAATAATGTATATATTCATATATAATATAATAATAATAATAAACTTTATTTTATATAGCGCCTTTAAAGGTGGCTTCTCAAAGCGCTTTACAGGATGACAATAACAATAAATAAGAAGACTACAACAATAAATAAGAAAATTTCAAAAGACAGGACACAATTATAATTACAACAATACAACAATAACAATAGAG